TTGTTCGTTAAAAAGCAGAAATGCTACTGAATTACTTAAGCAAATCCATCAATTGCCAGGGCAGTTTCTGACCTGCTGAAGAGCTGTCCTGCTTAATGCAGGACACACACACACAAAAAAAAAAAAAGTTGTGGGGGGGGGGGGGGGAGGGGGGGGTCTGCAATGGAGAGAAAAATACCTACAACTTTTCTATGGTGCCAACTAGTTTGGAGAGCACATTGAAAACGCTGTATTCATCAAAATCTTGTAAAAATAAAGAGCATCACTGAAGGCAACTATTAGTTCTGTCATAAGAAAACTTATCTTTTTTCTTCTATAGTTTAGAATAGCTTTGTGTTTGCATAGACAAAATCAGGAACTTTTGGCATGGACAGACTGAAGGGTTTTACAAAAGGCAGCGACATGACTTCACATACATTCTCAAAAGGATAAATCTGTGTTGCAAGCTGACTTCAGGACATTTTGAATGTTGCAGCAGCTCTCTTCTCTTCTGTGTGTAAGAAAAGTACCTTCTCTAGCAGGAGTAAAAGAGAGGATAAATAACAGCACCACGGAAGGGAAAAAGGAATCAGAGAAAGCCACAAAGCTGGAATTCATCGCCAGGCTTGGAACAGACACAGCCATGCAGCAGCACGTGGCAATGAGGAAACATAAAGAGCTACAACAGGTAGGCTGGGATAGAACTGAGAGAGCTAAGGGTATCCCCGGGACATAGAAAATCAGAAGGACAAAGAGTAGATATTGCTTCATAGGGAAATTAAACAAGCTACTGGGCTGCTCCTTATCATTTTTGTTTATTCTTCACAGTGGCAGGCCAGAGCACAGAGTAAAGACTATGGGACACCAGCAGGCGTTACATGCACGTTGTAGCCAGGAGAGTCCAAAAAAGCTCCCCTGGGTGCTCACAGCACCACCTAATAGAGCCTCCTCCAGAAAGCTCATAGAGGCTGAGCAGCTCCATAGGGTTGAAAGCAGGGAAATATAGCAACAACTTTCAAGTGTGGGGTGACACACAAAGAGTCACATGAATTGTCAACCTGAGAGGGTTCAGCCACAAGGGAGCTAGCATGGCTTTGCCAAGGGCAGATCATACCAAACCAGCCTCATGTCCTTTCTTGACATAACTTGCCTGGTAGGGAAGAGGAAAGCAAGAGATGTGACCTTTCTTGCCTTTAAAGTCTCTAAAGTAATCCAGCATGAGATTTTCTGAAGGAAAATAGAACATATGGATTAAGAGCATGAAGCAAGTAAATGTTTCAAAAGGACTACTGTGAACATTTTGCTCTTAAGACATGAGGTCTAGAATGGGGGTGGTGTCTATATGTAAAAGTACATACCCATATACATACACGTTAATGGGCATAAATACATAGAAGCATGCACACACATATGTGTATGCATGTATATGACTAATACACATACAAATATAAGTCATTATAGTTGAGTTTCTCGAGCATGGTTCTCATGAAAAGATGGGGCTGCAGGGAGAGATTTGAGGGCACAGATCCAAAGTGGAGTTTCTTGACAGTGGAATAACTGTCTCAGTAATATAGCCAGTAATATAGCCATCAAAAGGCAAATAAACCATACAGTAATTAAATAAATTATTATTATTAAGAGCAACAATGAAAGTGTGTGTGTGTGGGGGGGGGGGGGGGGGGGGGGGGGGGAAGGGGAGAACATAAACGTTTCTCACCTCCAGGTTTCTCATTTCCACTTAACAGAAGTGGAACCTAAGTTACCAGCTCAGATTTGAGGTCAGTGACCACAACAGCAATACCTGTCCTGCTAATGAGGTCTGCCATGTAGAAAGCCCCAGAAAAATTCATCTGGAATCTAGGTGTTAGTCCTTGGTCACTCATGGATCAGCTATCTCAGAAACTCACCTGCTCTACTTTTAGCTGAGAAATTCAGGTTGTAAGATTGGAACCTCAGAACCAAGATTCGAAGGCTTACACTTCTCATGTTGTAAGGGAGATGTTCTGCCTCCACTCTTGTCATGCAGGAAGATTCAGCACCTTTTAGAGGAAGAATCTCCAGAGAAAACGTTTTCTGTCTCAGATACCAGTATCCTACTAGAGAGACAGCATGCAATATACATATGGCTGCACATATTCTGTGTTTCAGATGTGTTAAAATAACACTAAATCCACACGTCCCCTCTCTACCCTGTGGCAATCCCACTATAGCAGTGCCAATGCACTGTGGCAATCCCAATCTGTAGAAGAAAACCAAACATCATTTTAACTGTCTCTTTTACTTTTGTTGGCTATCTCTGCATGGAGAGCAATAACTTGCTCCCCCACTGCAGCTCATAGAGGTTGTCCAAAGACAACCCAGTGGAGAACTGACCTCTGCCGGTCGCGATGTCACTAGTGATGCTGTTAAAACTGTTTACTTTTATAATTTATCTACCATCAGGTTCTAGTCTCTGGCTCCCATCTGTCCCCTAGGATGAAAGAGTTTTTATTCCACAGCGAGGTGTTGTAACCCCTTGGACTCCTCCTGCACCCCGCAGGGAGCTCTCCCCTCTCTGAAAGCTGCGCTTCATCCCCATCCAGGCCCCACCTCCATCTTTGTGCAGGCCGCACCTGGCGCAGCCACCGCCATCTTGTGGGTGGAACAGCCCGTGTGAGGCAAGGAGGAGAGGATTTCAGGGCCAAAGCTTGCCATTATCTCCTCCTAGATCAGCTACATCCAACCCCAACTAAGAGCCTACCTCTTTTTAATTTCTGACAAGTGTAGGAGTATTCATACTATATGTACCCATAAAAAAATGTAAACCACACGAGTTATGCCCTCATGGAAAAAAGTGTGCCCCAAGTCGACAGCTACAAAGAACACTGGGCATGTGTTTGTTATCCAGAGTGACATGAGTTTCGTAATTCAGGGAGGGTGTTTTATCTTCCTTTCAGCTGTCAAGACAGACAGAACTGGTCTGTGGCCCCACCTTTCAAGAATGGAGAAGCTCGTTCCCCAGACTTTCCCCACCAATGCTGCAGAGCTAAGAAGTAAAAACACTAATCCTCAGCAAACCATGCTTTAGAGATGTCTTCAAACACTTAGTTCCTTTGAGTGGCACACAATATCGAAGAGTTCACTCACTTCCAGAGCAAGGACAATACATTACTTTCTAACATGAGACACAGATTAATTAACATGAGGCTCAGGGATAGGAAAGGGCCCTCTCCTTCTCTGGAAAGGTGACTTGGTAACAATGTCTTAGAAACACTGCTTTAGCAACCACTCTGCCAGATAACATCCAGAAAACAAATGCTGTACACGACTGCAGCATTTCAATTAGTGACACACTTGTCATGGCCATTGCCCTTTGACTATGTAGATCATTTCTCCCAGTTCATGGAGTTGTGTAGTCCCCCAGCTGTTCCGTGATGAACAGTCCATGATGCATGCTTGCACGTTACAGCAGGAGTCAGCTTTGCCCACTTTCCTTGCTGAAGGCCATTTGGATCAGCTGGGTTTCAGATAGATTGAAGACCTTCTGGGTTCAAAAGCAGGACTTCACCAAATGCTTGAAACCACAGGTTCCCTCCTGCTGCAGGAACGTGCTGCCAAGACTTGGAGAGCTTCTTACTGCCAAGCAGATGAAGAGCTAGAAGAGCAGAGCACATGCCTTCACAAGACCCAGCGCTGTGTCTAGCCGACGGATGGAAGGACTTTCCAGACCACTGCTTGGCTGCCTGAGCTATACAGCACTCAAGTACTTATCGTGGTCATAGCACACAGATTATTTGGGCTGCTAACTCTACAGCATCTAATCTGATTTTGCTCATGCCAAAGTCCTTTTGAAGGTTAAATACAGCAAACTTCACAGGGCACTGAAACCTAGCCTGGAATAAGCCTTGAGAATCACATACCCTGCACTGACACCCGCTGATTAACTTGAACTTTGAAGTAGCAAAGTAGAATCAATACACTCTCTGAACTAGAATCACAGACTATAAAAACTGTTGAGTTTATACACGCCAGACTAAACATCCATTCTACTGCAAAGCTTAAGGGACTGCAGAGTCTCAAGGCAGACAGCTTCAGGCTGCATGGAGAAAGCAAATGGCTGAGAGTGCTGTTCTCAGCTTGTGCAAATAAAACCAAACCAAATAAATCCCACCACAGCTCATTACCTTCTCTTAACTGTGATTTTAACTCAACCTGCTATCTGTAATGGGTTGATCACTTTCAGGAGGAGGTCCCACAGCTCAATTATCTTACACACTTTCAATCCCCACTCCCAACCCAAAATTTAAGATTTTGTTCCAATTTTTCTCTTTTCCAAAGCTGCTGGCAGTAATATATGACAATATTACAAAATTGCTAATAAGACGCATGGCTTTGGGAAATTGATAGAAGCTTTCACAGTCTGCCGTGTATTCTGATGCTTGTAAAGTATAAAAATATCCTTGCTCAATAGGCAAGGTTATGGCTTGTCCTTGGGACTGTGCGGCACCTTCCTTTCTCTGCAGCCAGACTTTCCTTTACAATACAAGTGGTTGTGTTTGGTTTTTAAATACAGTTTTGCTTGTACGTGAGCAGTTTTTGCTTCATCCATCTAGTGTGTAGCAATGTACATGCCCAGAAAGAAAAGCCATGCATAACCAAGATAAATATTCCAAAAATCATTTAAAAAAAGGTTACTAAACACTTTTTTTTAGGCCTATTGCTTCTTAGCGCTGTTAGGATGGCACAAATAGAAAAGACCATAATAGTTTTAGAAAATTTGTAAGTGGTTCTTTGTCTTAATCATATGAATAGCAATTTACTCCCAGTCTGCATTTATACTGGAAAAAAAGTGATTATTCTGCTGCACCCCAGCAAGGAGGGGCAAACAATCAACACAAGTATTTCTTAAAAAATAATATAGGGTAGTACAAACACTGAGTGGATAAAGTTTGGTTACCGTGTTTCTCATCAAACCTGGCGATATTGTTCAAGTTCATAACAAATGGGATGTATTAATCAAAATAGGAAAAAAAACACACTGGTAAGACAATAAACATTTATTGATCTTTGGCTTTAGAAATTGTCCTAGTTTGGATGTGGGAAACACTATATAAAATAATGGATTTGGTTTTTAAATCTAGAGTAAGTACTGTAAAACAATTTATCCTTCTACAGTCCACAAATGCAAGACATGCAGAGTACATGTAGGGATACTAAAATACTATATCAGCATCACTGTAGTAGACAATAAATGTCTCATATGGATCAATGCTTTACAAATGCAAGCAAGTTGATGGGGCAGTTGATATACAGCAGGTATCACAGTTCCTCTTAGATTTGCTGTGGTATTACCACTAGTACCTCATAAATACAAATTTATGAATGTGTGCATTACTAAAAAAAAATATGTAGCATTTCATCAGAATGACTAGGGGAATAAGAAAGTATAATCTTTTTTTCACTTAGCAGCATATATTGACGTTAAAGGATTTAGGTTTTTAGATGACAAACCAATTCTTACTATTTTGACATTAATAAAATGCTGCCACATACATACTAAGACTTACCAAACAAGACTTTATAAAGACAGCTTTGTAAATGCTCCACAGTCAAATAATAAGCAACTATTTCTTACACACAGTGTAAGGAAGCGTTTAGCACACTTACTGGAGGAAGCGTTCCCAAACAGTGTACTACATACAGTATAGGTTGCTAAAGCCACTTTTTAGAGCTAAAAGCTCAAAATGGTTTCATAAGGCTTCCTTGGAGGAAGGCTTCCTTTGGTAGATTTAAACCAGTAACACCATTTCAGTTTACAAGCACTTCACATTTAGAGTGCATGATTAACTTAGGGCAGGCACCTACTGTTCCTTCACCTTCCCCCCCTCCACCCGCTGAATATGACTTGTCTCACCTTGAGTGCTCACCATGCTCAGAGGCAGGGAAGTAGCTTACAGGTAAGGATGACTTTACTATTCTGTACCCCAAAAGCACTCTATGAAATTGGTACACGTAACTTGTGCATTTTCTTTGCTCGGTCCCAGACAGCCACGTTACAATGCAGCTTCTCTTGTACTCCCTGCACCCCAGATCCATGAGGATGTGGCGAACCTCAGTGGAGTCTTTCTGAACTCAGGCAGAACTACTTACCTGGCCAAAGTTTGCTGCAGAATTGGGGCATAAGTAATATCAGGGGTGTCACTAAAAAAACTTTGTTATACTGTTTCAAAGTTGCGCACACGTCCCTTCCTTCAATCATAAAAAAGGAAGAAAATAATGCATACGTGGCAGTGGGGTGTTACATTACCCATCAGGTAGTAGGCAAAGCTGTTAGAATATCACTGAAGTAATGCAAATGGAAAAGATTTCTACAAAATCTTATTTGCCTCCAGTGTTTAATAACGTTTACAAACACATAGACATTCTACATAACAAAAGCTTTATGGAAATAATTTTATAGTATATCCCCTTTTTAGGACTAACAGTCCTTGCATTTTCTTTCCAAAAGCTGACCTTCTATTATTTAGCAAAAGAACCAGAAAAGTAGATGCAACAGATTTTAAGCATGCCTTTTACAGACCACCCATGTTTAGGCACTTCAGTCTATGGTGCACAAAAACAATGCAATATTTCTGTACACTGTTTATTATTTGTAATAATTGCACCTAGGTATTATCCACACTGACTTTAAACAAAAAAAAAAAAAAGGAAAAAAGAAAAGGAAAGGAAGAAAAAAGCCAACAAAACCTCAAATACTCTTCAGCTTTTCCAACTTGTGCTGCACTCTCCTGTCCGTAAGTCCCAACGAACCCCTAATGCACACAGCAAATGCAATAATTTTTGACGCAGGTGATGCAACACTGGTCAGGAGGTCTATGTAATGCAACTGTCACCTAACACCACCTTCAGTGTGAAGCATGCCAATCATAACACTTACAAAGCTCTAACTATAAAAATCACCTTGTATCAGTAATTTAGCAGAAGTAGGAAGCTAAAACATACATAAATAATACCAGAGTCTTGTCCATTTGGCAAATACTGAAATGAAGGATGGGGAGTCCTCTGCTTTGAGGTTTGTTGTAGTGTAGGCAGTATTATGTGCTTTTCTCTTAAAGACTCTTAACAAAGCAACAGCACTGAATTTATGTCTGGTCCCAGCAAGAGAGACATTAATTTAAAGTATTTACAACTTGGAGGATGCTCCTTGTGCAATCTGTAACAAGTTTATCTATGAGATTTTTTAGGCTTAGATTATTTGACAGCATGTTTACATTAATATTTGCTCACATAAATGGAATGACTGAAACATCAGACAAAGTTTCCTAAGATCACTATTACAAAATATTGCTCCATGTATTCTTCCTAGAAAACCTTACATACTAAGAACATGTAGAGTGTTAACAACAGGACACAGGAATGACTGAAGACAGGGAAAACTAAAAGCGTCTGTTAACATGTCATGACATGGGGGTGAACCGTATTTTATGAAGTAAAATTTTTGGAGTGTTTTTTGTTGTCCTAGCTTTTTATCAAAAATACTTTAAATATGCATTCTTGAACATTAAAATAGACATGGGAAGCAGAATTTGATTTGTGAATAAAGTGAGCAAAGGAAAAGAGAACAAAGGCTGACTTCAGCAGAAGATATTTTAAGCCAGGTTTAAAAAAAAAAAGCTTATCAGCATAATAAAATAAATAAAAATGGCCTACTACTAAGGAGTTTCTAAAAAGCTACTTGTAAAACCTAGTTGTTTTTTGTTTGTTTGTTTTAATATCAGAGTCACAAGGATAATATATTGAAATACTGCAAACCTGGACTTCCTCCCTTATTCTGGATTGATGTTGTGATAACGTGAAAAGTTTGGTATTTACAGGTGGATTCCACAAATCAATATAAAACCGCGTATGTGTTAGCACTCCAGCCTGGACAACGAGTTTTTAAAAAAAATTGAGTATAGAAGTATTTGACTTCTAGTTGCAGGCAATGGTATTAATGACAAATGAGAAGATGTTCCATAGCAACAGGATTAAAAATAATTTCCAGATCACCACAGACTGACTACTCCGCATCAGCTTGTTCAACTAGATCAGGTATTTGGTTTCAATACTTATTGTCTAGATGCTCTTTGGAGCAACTAATAGTGAGGTCAAAATATTGTTCTTAAATTATCATTTGGGATTTAGGACTTGGGCTGCAGGTACTGGAAAAAAGTCTTGTTTACTCGTAACGGTAAACATTTACCTTTAGTATTTCACTTAAAATCCAAATTACCTGCTTTCGCTCTCCGCTGTTAACGCTTTGCTTAGCCGTAAATGAAAGATTTCTCCAAGAGAAATCCTATTTTCTCTGGCCTTACTTCGCTTCATGATTTCCCATTTTTACTGTGCACTTAGTTCTTCAGTCACAGCCAGAACATTCTAGTTACTTTGTAGGGACAAAATTATCTGTGGGATGATTTTTTTGTGGCTAACACACACAAATTGTGTCACATGGCAAAACTGAAAGTATAACTTTTCAAAACCATTCAAAATCTCTCATGAAAAACAAGCCAGTGCTCAAAAGAATAGTTGTTTTTTGTTTTTTTTTTTTTAAGAATAAAAACGTACAGGGCATTTAACCTTGTAGGGCCTTCTGTAAGATTTCTATAGGTGTTAAGATACTTTAAATTTTCTATGCACTAAATCCAAGACCTCTGTTGCCATTTAGCTGTAGTTAGCCACAACACAGTAAACAAACTTGTAATTATTGAAGTTACTTGAAACCTCCGTACTTACTACCCATTCTGCACATTGAAATTATGCTACCTAATTGTTGTGCTGATGTATCTTGATGGCACTTTTGTTTGTTGGTGAGTTTGACTTTACAATCCAGGTAAGGATACATCTCTATTCACTTGTCTTCCAGTATTTGCAACTAACAGAAGGGAAAGAGCAATTGCCACAGAATTTCTTGTGTTGATAATACCTGTTTCTCCATTATTACTATAGCTGTTGATTCTCTTGGAAGAGAATCAACATGAAGAAAGAAGAAAAAAAAAAATAGTTTGCATCCTTCAACACCTGGAAAATCCCAAAGCTTGAGAAGGTATCAAAGGAGGACAAGTGCTGCCTGAGAACATCACCTGCAAAGTGGAAGAACAGGCTTGTGACAGTCCTATCTCTTTCCTAATCAATTTCTCTAATCTTAGAAATAGAGCAAGTTACACTTGGAATAGAGTAGAATTACATTTGGGTTTCCCTGAATCTTGCTGGAAGACCTGGATTTAGCACTATCCTAACTTTGTCTAACGGGATTTCCATCACAGAAGTACAGTGTTTAACCAACTGATAGCAGCTGGACTTCAGAGTTATTTAAAATATTTAAAGGGACTTATCCTGCAATGATAAATAAACTTCAAACCAAAAGAATAAAGAATCAAAATACAAACAACATTAACTAATCTAGCTAGCTCATTTCTGTGTAGGTAATGTAGGAAAAAGCTGTAGACTGATGGAAAGAAGTGTCAGGCCAACAAGTCACGGTAATGGAGTGATAAAGGGAGTTCTGAATTCAGGAAACGGGAAGAAAGAAAAAAATGTTTACTCTTTGTGAAAAGAATCTTTCCTTCTAAAATCTGTCAGAAATGTAGTAGACAGTGAGGAAAAAGCAAGTATTTAAGAATCCTGAATAAAAATTACTAACCTCTCTGACAGGTTTTACCTGCTTTTCCATTTCTGTAAGCTGCTTTTTTTTACCCCAAGCTGCTGATAAAGCTCTCCAGGGAGGGGGTGTAGGGACTGGAGGAACCATTTGCCAGCTGCTGATTTAAAAGAGCTTCCTGAACAAGATACTTCTTGGAGGTTCAAATAATATTCATGGAAGTGAGAACTATCAAGGCTGCTGTTTTACTTTAAAAGTCAGTTTTTGAATATATCAAGTAGTTGCAAAATGCACTGCTCACAACTATGGCAATATGCTCCCTCTAGCTTCACTGTCACATTTCAAAGATGTTTATTGCTGTATGTTAATTTTTAGTAAACCTCCTAGACCTACACAATGATTAAATGAAACCAAAGACCACCTCCCGTTCAGATTAAATTGCTGACCAGAAGGTTGTCCTGTTCTGTAGAACAACAAAATGTGGAACAAGGGACAGAAGTGCTGATTCTAATGTTAGCAACATCCAGGTGCATATTTTCCATGTGATCTGTGCAACATCTGAAGAGTAAGACAGTGTGCTTCCTCAACAAAAGCTCTGCTGATATACTTACAGTTCACTTTTACAAACTACAAGCTTTGAAAATACGTAGCTATGCCAAAGGAAACTGTTATCTAACATTATTTTTAAGTCTCCTCCAGTACTGGAAGTTCATTCCTGTCATTCAGATTGCAGCAATAGGATACATCTCATCCACGCGTGTGAGCTTTTTGGACCAAGTTCACAATCAGAATCAAACTGCACTGTATTGTTTTAGTATTCTCTGGAATAAAACATCAATATTGGATGCCTACCTATAAATTAAAAAGCTGACCTTACTAATTTTCATATTAATGGTATATCTTGAACTAACAGGTACAATACTTTCCCCAGTGCTATGATTCATTATTCTATTCATCTGAATGACATTTCCTAGGAGTGTATCAAGACCTGAATCTATGAAGTCAAATGTTTTTTATGCTAATTCACACAGTTGAGTCTTTGTCCCTGTTAATTATGAAAGGTCGGTGTGAAAAAACAAAGCTTGCAGCACCAATAGCACTGAAATACTACACTGCAATGAAACCGTTTGAATCATGCAAGGTGTTTCAAGACATCCCAAATGCATGCAGTAGGTACTAGCTGGTGTACATAAATCTTCTCCTAGTAGCAGTAAATGCAATTTAATAAACTAATAAATAACTTAAAAGGCATTCAACATAGCAAGACAATTTATCACCAGCTTAAATTCTGAATTTTCTGCATTCATGGACATTTCGCTTTCCCATATGGCAGGTTTGCAACATATTAAATATTTAAGCTTTTCCATTTATAAATGCTTATATGCCAAAGCACAAATTCAAGAGAAAAAGAACAGTAACAGAAAAGTAGCCAGTATTAGTTAAAAAAAATAAAGCACTGAACTCTGCAGTGTAATATTAACATTTTAAAAAAGCTACTACATATGAATCCCCATTTTTGTTCTCCAATTACACAAAACATCTAAAACATTGTAATTCATTGTTTCACAACAGTTTTGATATGTAGGGTCTAACCCTTCACTGAAGCAAAACTTTTAAAGTTAATGCTTTGCTCCTCCTCACAATAACTGTTTATTACACAGAAAAATATTATTTCTGAGAGATATCACTTGTTACTATACGGCCAAGTTAACACAGATTACACTGGCTAAAGGAGACAATCTGACAGAGCTGGTATTTCAACGTTAACAGATGAAGTTGATCTCTTCTTGCAAAATAGCTTAAGTTCTTTAGTATAGCTAAGTACCTTTGTAGAGGCACCAAAATCAAATAGCCCTTTCAACTGAACTTTCAACGAATTTAATTTTCATTTCAAATGGGATCTTGAATTAACTAGATACACATGTATACCTCTCCCATGGCCTTGTAATATACATTCAACAATTTAAAATAAAGATTCCGTATTTTGTAATTTTCATATATATTATATATTTGATATATAATATATATTTATATGTACATTACAGATACATACACTCTTAGTCAGCAGGATTAAAGTGTTTTGAAATGTTTAAATGGTGTCACTAATCTACATCTATTATTTTGTGAATTCAATGGAATTTATCTATTACCTAAAAAGAAGAAATTTAAAAGATCCAAATGGAATCTGTGGATCAATATTAGCACCAATACAGATGGCCATTACTTCAAAATGACTGCAGGGACTGTATTATATATATATTTATATATATATATTGTTTATTTTTTATTTTTTATTTTTAATAATTCCCCTCTCACTGTGCAAGCATTTCTGCATAATATATAGGCAGCAATACCTGCCAGGTCCACGCATTTATCTTATGTTAAATTTAAATTTTATACAACTTTTCTTACTGTAATATACAGTATCTCTGTTGTCCTGTTGGATTATTTCATTTTTCATGGAGAAAAGTGATCAACAGCTATCCAACAGAACGTTTTAAAATCCCCTTTCATATTCCATTGTATGGCTCAGTTTCAAGATTTTACTGAATAGGCAGCCATCATCAGCATAACCAGTGCCTACTTCCACAGTTCAGTCACTGACAGCTGATTCTTAAAACACAAAGTGTTGAGGGTGACATCTTCTCAATGGAAACCAAGATACTCAGAGGTTGTATCTTTTCAACATGCCACCAACACCTGCCACACAATAATGTCGGTCTCGTTACTGTAATTGAATTAGTTACCTACCATCTCGGTAACAAAAATAACAAACCCAGTTGTAATTTTAAACATTTTAAGAATATTCACCCTGAGAACACAGAGGAAGAGTTTTTAAAAAAAATCTGATATGTTTTCTCTTCATATATAGCTTTCTTCTTTTATCTTCATCTCCTCTTGGGTACCTGGGTTTGTATCTAGAATTTGACGTTGTACTTATCAGTTGATCTGTTCATGCCACAGTCAGGTACTGGTGATAGAAAAGCCCAAAAAGGCTTGTAGAAAAGAGACAAGCAGCAACCCACCAGGTAAGGAAAGACAGGAGTCCCCGGAACAGGAGAGGAGTGAAAATATTCTTTAGGCTTCCCAAAGCCATTGTTATTTGTACTACAGTTACTTTCATCTTTCCATCGGTGGGTGGAGATTCAGAATAAACTGAATTGGGAAGATTGTTTTCTACTGGAGTGTCGGAATTCAGTTCCGGGTAGATGCCCCAAGAATAATTACCTGTTAAAAAGTAACGAGTAACAGATTTTTGTAAAATTACATTTAAATTCTGCTCTAACTGTATCTCTCTATACATCATCTTAAATATGTTTCTACACAAACAAAATTGTAACTAAGTAAATACTAACTGTATTCATCCACATGACTTCCTGATCTAGTAAGTTATTACTTCCAAACTAGTAAGCTATTAGGGTAGAATTCATCCTACATTTTCACATCCTAACATCTGCATCTGAAACAGTTGCTTTGGGACCCCTATCAGTGCTGGGTATGATTAATCGTACCATATGTAGATGTCTGCTTCAAGATGGGATGAACTGCAGCCTAATAAAGACCATTTCTGCTGAAATTTTGCAAAAAGATTGCCAGATTGCCACGATTGCACAGCAAGCTGGGAAAGACATCCCTCATAAGAAACACAGTGACATCAGGTATTCCAGAAATAAAATGAACTCTATATCTTACATTTTCTTTTCAAAAAAACTGCTGATGATTGTAGAAATGGAAAAAAAAACTTTAACAGATATTCATAAAATTAAGTCAACAGTGCTTTATATAGCTCATTCAAAATAGTTTGAAAAAGGTGAATATTTCAATGGAAATAAACAGCTTAATTTGTTGTATTACACATTTTTTTCAGAAATAAACAAATTACCGTATCATTGACAGATGTCAAAAGCTGGAAGAGCAGAGGACAGCTTGACAGCCACATACCAGAAAATTTTAAATGGCTGAAAACCACAACCTATTTCTGGATTACAAGTACCCAAACAATCTAACTCTCCGCAGTAAACTGAAAATACAAAAGCCCTGTAGAGGACAGAACACGTGTTTGTTCATCATATTTTGCTTACCTAGTGTTTTCAGAAGCAGAGTTGTGTGAAGGAGCATCACCAATGGTGCAACATACTGCAGTGCAATTACACAAAGGTAATAGAATACCCGAGCCACCTGGGAACATAAAAATTATTGGTGAGTTCTGGGTGATCAGACCAACCCTTTATGAACACATTCAGGAAAAACAAGCAATTTATTAAAAAACAATGCTTATGCATAAATGCTGTCATAAAAGTTTTCTAGCTTATTTCAGTACGTGATGTCAAAAGACCTAACAAACCCCTAGCTGATGAACTGCTATTTCAGGACACATCAAATCCTGAGAGGGCACGCTGAAAGGAAATAATTAAAAGCATATGTTCTGTTAAAACTAGCAGAAACAATTTTGCCTATGAGCACTGCATATTACTGTTCAAAGACTCCTATTTCAATACACAACAATCAAAACTAAATATATGATTAATTTTTCAAGTCCCCAGTGTTTTGCAGACTAAATCCTGCTATATGAATGAAGTAGTAGTCACAGTCCAAGACTTCATCAAAAGTAAATGAAAATTTGGTAATCATTGCAGTTCCTTTTCAAAAGCAAGTTCTTCTAGTTTTAAAAACAATGACAAGAGGACTTGTCATTAGTAGATGATCAATTACAAACCATTTAAATGGAAGTTCTTTCAGATATACATTACGGCTCTTTGAAACCCACTGAGAATATTCCTGCACCCTGGTCCTTATTTCTTTAGACTGTTGCATTGCATATTTTATATAAGCTATTGACCTAAAAGACTAGATCAAATAAAGAAGGGAAAAAGTCATAAAATCAATAGCAAGCAATCAATGAGATAAAGCTAACTGGATTTTAGAGAAGAATAGAATACAGGGTGGCAAAAAAAGATGAAGGTAGATCTGACGTTTTTGGAAATACATCAAAACCTCAAAAGGGCTCTGAGATGAGCAAGCATCAAAAAACTAACATGAGAAGAAAATGTAGCAAAACACTGACAGAAGAATCATGAGAAATATTGTAAGATATCTGACGGAGTATGATAAAAAAGTAATGATCAGTGCTGGAAGACATATAGAAAAGACTTTACTGACAAGAATTACAGGAGAAGAGAAAGCAAACTTGGCTAATAAAACAAGACAGAACTTAATTTAGTAGCAATGTCTTCTCATAAAAAGAAGACACAGACGTATTGGATAAACAGACTTAGGAAACATCATGTACGGAAGACACTATTGTTTTACGGATAGGACTAAAGCTCCCAAAACTAAAGCTGTGCATTCACAACAGCCTTCTGTCATACAGTTCTGTCATAACCAATTGTTGCTACCTCTATTTCCTAAGCTTTCCTCTGAAGCCAAATACTGGTCACTGCAACTAAAAATCTGAAGACAGTACAGCACCATCTTCTTATGACTGTAGGATATTTGGCAGAGACAAGGACAACAGGATTATAGGTAACAGTGACAACCCTAAAAGAAGAGTCTTTGTCTTATGACATATTCCTCCTGGAATAAAACCCCAAATCAGCAAGATCATCAAGCAGCACTATCATGCAACTCTAGAAATCTAAAGTTTACTTTGCAGGCAGCATGCAACACCTTACAAATTCTACCTTCTTAATTCATTGATGGTTTATTTTATTATTTTTCTTTAAAAAATCCAATCTTTCCTATTACTTGCAACAGTATCAAGATGGGCAGTTTTGTAGCTAGGCTAGCTCATTTCAGGGTGGCCTTACAGAACTAAATGTGTCTTATTTAATCCTGAAATATAACTAGCCTATCTTAAATTTTGCTGCAATTTAAAAAGCACAGTTTGATCTAGGTAATGGTATTTTGCCCTTCTATCTAAACCAGACTGTCCCGGTCTTCCTCTCTTTATATTGTAGCAACAAATCGCCACACACTCTGTGCACACACTCCCCAGTTTATTCTTATGCTGAACAGTAATACACCAAGAAGCAAAATGCTTGCCACAGTATTGTGAAGAACACTTCATGAAGAGGTATCTTCCAACAATGGATGAATAGCTTAAGACAATGTGTTTGCATAAAATAGCTTATACATCTCTCTATATTTTGGTTTACAGAATTTCTCAGTAACAATGCTTTTCTGATAGGAAATATAGTCTAGGCACCAGAGCTAAACATGAATGAAAATTCCAAGGAAGACACAACAAACAGGGAAAAACAGAATCTGAACGGAGCAATCTCTCCAAATATGTAACCATAGTCCCACTACACTTACCATTTTTTGTAAATCAACTGTACTTATTCTGCCAGCTTCTTTTTTCATCTGATCCACGCTTTTCTGGGCTAGATTCAGATAGGCCTGCAAATGACTGCGCATCATAGCCAACCGCAGAGCACACAACAGGATTATAATCCACAACCTCATGGTGTCAAATGTATCTTCTGACATTCTGTAGATTAAAAAAAGGGCAATGCTGTTTTCCGGAGGTCACCTACTGCTGCAGAGTTATTTGTTTGTATCTTCTGTAAAGACAGCTTCAAGCATATTGTCAAAAATACTTAATGCACATGTCCACAGTTATATAGATCATGTGCAAGTAATATTCACTTCCACCCCTGCTAATCTCTTTAATGTTACTTCTTAGTAGCCCTTTTACTGCATTAAATCCAAATTAGTATCCGTTTGTAAACAGTAACAGCTCTTAAATACTTGAATTTGAATATGAAGACAGGACACTAAAAGCAAACTCTTTCATGTAACTGCAGTCTTTGAGATGCACAGCTCTATACAGCAAATGTGTACTTCAGATGCCTTAGACACCTTGTCAGAGCACAGACCTAGGTGGTATTTCAGCCCTATGAAGAACATCGCCTTACTCTGCCAAAGAGATGTGAGAAGATAGCAGCTCTTTCAGAACCACCACCTTAGCATTCAACACTGTGACTCATTTTCTTCTAATACAACAGAAGCCTTTTAGAGCTCAGCAGTAACTTCCACAATACCTTTAATGAAGGATGCTATTCAATTTTCAGTCTTTCACCTTGCTAAAACTTTCACAGGGCATTACTTAGACTTATGGCTTTGTCCTTAAAATCCCAGAAAGAATTTTTAAAGGGAATCTTACAAAGGTATGCTCTCTTTGCCCAAAGGCGGGTTCATAATGTAGTCCTTAGTGATTGGTTTCACCCACAGAAGAACCATAACTAGAGGCGCCAAGAAGTTTATATGTAGCAATGTTCTGAAATAAGAAAAAAAGGGGGGATGTTATTAAATGAAAACAATTACCATACTGTTGAAACTGGTGATAGATTCAAAAGGATTAATCCAAACTTTAATATAGATGGAAAAGATAACTAATAAAATTACTTCCCTATATTTAGAAGTATGACATTTTTCAAAAAACAGTAATATTACATACTGTGAAATCACACTGACTGTGATTTTAAAAGTTCTCTCTGGAATAAATTTCAGATATCCTAACAGTCTAACCAGAAGAACTACATGCATTTTATTATATCACACTGTAGTAAAAGACAGTTGTTGAAAATGTCCATACAATAGCATAATGCCAAACTGCAGTAGCTATTAGTTTTAATCTAGACAGCCAACATCTCAGATGGATAATTATGAAAATATGCTGCTATATTAAGATTTTTTTTTTTGCTTTATTAAAAAGGCACTCATATTAATTTCCATTATCTATGCAGACCAGGGGAAAAGTTCTCAGAGGTCAGAATACCCAGCTTAATGAAGAATTTTCTTAGGAACCTTGACTAAATGAAACTTGGTATTTACATTCAATTAAAGATACTCCTAAAAAAAAAAAAAAAAAAAAAAAAAAGCTACTCCATGAAACAGCTCTGCATGAAACTACACTGTTAATGTAAAAGGAGTTCTCTGAGTACAAAAGAGACAATAGAATTTAAAAGGTGAAAAGTAGAGATTTTCAGGAGTTTTTCTTGAAATTAACCACCTTTCTTAATTCTTCCCATAGAAACTGTCTGAACCCCATTATACTAAGTTTGCATTATTTAAATAAAACAAAAACAGTTATGGAACTGTTTACAGTATTGTAAATCTGGTAAATTTGTTAATGCAACACTTTCTCGCTAACAGAATTGGCTTGTCTGCATAGCCATCTCCAAGGACAGTTCTGTACTATAGAAAATATGAGATAATCCAAAGTTATTCTGAAAACACAATACTATTGATTTCAAGCAATCAAACTTCCTAAACCCATTAAAATGTTTGTGTTTCAGAAGATGTCACCTCACCATTTAAACCATTAGTTTCAGATGAAGAAATAAGCACTGAGAGTTATCCAGTGTTGCTAGGGAACTCGACAGCACCTAAGAGGAGTCCAAAGCATTTCAGTAACTTGTGAAAGGATTTCACCTGAGCTTCTAGTTACTTAAGGCATCCTACTGGGTTAATGGATTGGAACGTGCCAAACAGTGGCATGAACTCTGATCTGTTTATCTGAGGGAGAAAGGCTGAAGGACTCTCAAAGTAGGCTCTAGAAAATGAGTGAACATGCAGGAAAACGGTACAAATTGATTAGGACAACTCCAAAATATATACAGGGAAGCATATTTCTGCTAAACTAAAATCAAACTACTAAAATTAAAAGTGACATCAGACTATTTTTCTTCCGTTCTTCCCCAACATTTACTCCTTCTGTATATACAGAAGAATCACATTAATCATTTTGACTACGCTGTTGAAGTAGCAGTTCACCATTTACATTTTTTGGGGGTGGAAGTAAATGTTTTCTCTAAGTTTCCCATTCTGTAATTACAGCTTGTCCTGTGTTTTCTTTGGCAAAAGTATGAGCTTATATTTAACTGCAGAAAAAGGCATTGTTTTCCTGCACCCAAATTAGAGAGCTCTGTATCAATGACATGTCATCCTCATTTACTGTTCCCCTTTACTCACTGCCAAACAACTGCAAACAGTCAATAACAACCTACCCACTGTTAAAAACACATTGCTAAGGACAAATACTGATCTCTTCAGGCCCATTCGAAGGTACCTCTCAGGGATGCTTCTTTGTTTCTAATTGCATTACCTAATCACACTGATGTCTAACCAAGTTTTAATCCATTCAGTGGAGTGGTTTGTTTGTTTTATATTGTTCCACTTGAACAGACAAAGTATTGCTAGACTTTCGAAAATAATTTGCTTGGTGCTGCACAATGTTGTCTTCAACGATCAGTTGAATATAATTCTGTCTTGTTAGACAAGATTTATTTTTCATAACCCCATACTAGTGATTATTAATTAACCGTTTAGTTGTTGATTAATGATAAGACGTCTTGTTTCAGATATTTCATATTTCTGCCTAGAATCTCATGTCCACAGATCAAGGAAGACTTTGGAAAATTATAGCATAGTCACAGAAAAGGCACAGAAAATTTTAAAATATCTATACATATAAAAATGAAAAACTGAGCAGTTTATTTAGCCAAAAAAGAATAGATTAAGAGCTGACTTGGTCACAGCCTACACATAGACAGAAATTTAACAGCAGCTAAAACAGAAGCCAACAGCCTGCAGTTTTAACTAGACGTATTCAAACTACAGTAAGCTTAAATCTACCAAAGGGTACTTAGTTAACAATGCACCAAGAGAGAAGGACCCACTTTAAACAGATTAATTTTTTAAGCTGGGCACTTTTGGGGAAAAAAAAAATAAAAATCTAAGTTTATGCATAAATAATTTTCATTTCAGAAAATATAATCATTCTCTTAGCAGTGGCCAGACTAAATAATCGCAATAACCCATGCCATCTATCAAATATCATATGTCAAGATCCGTGAAAGGCATTTGGAGCTTGCACTCAATTAGAGAATGCTGAAGAGAGATAGTTAATTCTAAGAAAACATTTTACTACCAAACTCCAGAGCCGTTGAAATTAAAATATTCCTTTAAAATGGTATTAAAGTCTGACCCTTATTAAATATCCAGGCCATCATAATGTAAGAAGCACAGAAATAATGAAAAAACAAATTTTAACTTACTTTCATTTAAAGTTATAAAAATTCAACAACTTTCTGTACGCTACTGTGATTTCAAACTTTATTAACAGAATTTTCATTGAGATTTAGATTCTCTTTAAACAGCTATTTTTTCTTTCAGTTTTTTGGGGTTTGCGTGTCTTTTTTGCCTCAGATCTTTCTTGTCTTCCATAAATTTATTACCAGAAGCATGATGCCATTCTAGTTGGGGAGGGGTAGGAATGAAAAAGTCTAGAGCTGCATCCCTTTTTCCAGGCATTTATCTGAACTTCCAAACAGACATGATGGGGGAAAGGCATCAGTAAACAAACATTCCTGGTGGAGCTCTCACAGGAGGAAAGGAAAGGAATCATCCTGTAACAGGGACTCTAGTTACGAGGCAAAGAAGTAAAGACTGGCAGAGCACAGGTTGACCAGAAAGAGGCAGGTGGCAAGTCTGCTGGAGATACAAAAAGCAGGCAGCAGCAGAAATCCTAGTCCCTACCTTCTTGTTGGAATAGTGTGGAATGTTTATTTTCAGACATTAAAGATTTAAGACTGAGTAGCATATACCTATGTGCATATATTTTCTCTTACTGTGTTATTTTTTCTGTTGCTAAATTCAGAGCATCCAGATGCATTTGAGCCAGTCGCAAGCCAGGGAATGTCAAAAAAGCACCAATAAGTGAACACAGAACAGCCAGGAACAATTTGAAGGTTAGTTTAGACACAGGACCCCTAAAAGAAAAGAAAGGAAATAAGCATTTTCTTGGGGAGGAAGTTGATGGGCGGGGTATCAGAGATTACTTTCAACTCAACAGTACCTAATATTTAACCAAAAAGTATTCTACAGTTTTACTCTAGAATCACTACAACCATTCAAGAACTAAAATCAAAAACAAGCAAGTCACCTGTTTAATTACTAAAGTGAATAGCAAACCTAAGGCACTTCCTACAAGATGTTAAATCTGTTAGCAGAGCAAAACAAGAAAAAAAGACTAATTTGTTGTTAATTAAAATACAAAACTGTGTAAGCTACTGGAATGAATTCAGTGGTTATTTTTCTAAGAGAGGAACATACATATTACAGGTTTAAATGATCAAAACCAAAATGAATATTTTTATGATATACTACCTGCATTCTGCTTTTATCCATTGAAAAGCTCTGTCAAAATTATTGCCGCAGTTTTCCACAAATTTATAAAAAAAATACGTGTCCAATTAACGTGTCTCTTCCAAGTGACTGTTTGTTTTAATGAATCATGCATTAAGTACCAATTACAGAAAAAAGTACCCAGGATGAAATGGATTATGGAATTAATAAACACTAGATTATACACAAAAACCAAGTGACTTATAAATGGATTAAAGAGAAACAAAACCAATTCTAGTTATCCACATGAGTTTTAGATTGGTAGTTTGCCTACATTACTTAAACTACCAAGAGACACCACCGTGAACTCAATCACTGCTGTAAGCAGCCGAAGCACTGCAAAAAGTTTAAAAATAAATGAACACTAACAGGAAAATTAATACAGAAGTTAGAAAATTTGCAATAGCTTAGGAAAACCAGAGTGAAGAAAGGTTATGAAATACACAGGATTCAGTTAAGAGTTTTTCATTAGATCACTTGTATCTAGAAATGCTACCTTTTCAAAGTAGGCAAAATTTGAAACTTCTCTTCTTCAGAAGTAAAGAAACCCCATAATTCTGGCATGGTACTTGAGAACTTCCGAGCAAGAAATTCAAAGCTGAGCTCCCACAGTAGTGACATACCCCATAAATGCATGTTAGAGCTGTTGTGCAAGGACTGTGTTGTAGCAGAAGTTCATTTTACAACACACAAAAGCTGCCTACAACAGCAATTGTATATAGAAGCAACATCACAAGCAACGGCACCTTTCTGTGACAGTCTAAACAAAACTTGGATATGCTATAGCAAGCAGATATATTGGTATAAGACGAAAACACTATTATAACTTGAAAATGTGACTGAAAGACAAACTTGACTCCTAACACCAGTTTTACTGAAAGCTCCATCTGAAGCTTTTGCACACTTACTCTCTTGCATACCAGAGCAAAAAGGTGTTTATCTTCTGTTTTAACCAATCTTTGCAAAACTGGAAGAACTGTCTAAGAGTGAAAAATTGAAAAACTGAAAAATGTTTGCAGTTTTATTTTTTTTTCCTTGCAAAATATCAGGGTAGAAACCATTTCCAAATTAAAAAGAGAAAACAAAAAAGTAACAAGATACTTATGATTACTAAGAGAGAGTTTTCACTAATAGTTTTCACCTCTTCACATTTTTAGAGGGATTGTAAGCATGTACCAGAGCAAAGCATGCAAGACAAATGCTTGCTAAGAAAATCCAAGTGGTTCAGCTATAAATGCAAATATAATGCAGATCAATGTATTTCCAAGAACTTACTGTGATTCCAAACCCTGCTTTTCAAGAAACTGCATAGCACTTTCCGAGAAATTTGAGAATCCTGCAGAGACACATACATGTATTTTGTAACAGCACAGACACAGAATCCCTTTTCTTGAAATAAAATGCTACATAACAGGACATCTTTTGAAAAGTACTCATATACTAGCATAATCCTTTCGGTCTGTGAAAACGTCTCTTAATTCATGCTCATTAACTGTACAAATATCAACATCAACATTGACAAACTTAGCACTTTTTTTTTTCCTGTAGAGAATATTCACTTTAATATGCAAGGCAAAACAGGTCAAAAATAAGGCAAAGAAAAGAAAACAACCTTTCCTTGGAGGTGAATATAAACAAACAACCCACAATTATCACAATACTTAAAACAAAGCAGGAAAAACATACAGGATATTCTTAAGAGTATGTATTCCAAAGCAAGTGCATCACATACTGAGTTAATATTAACATAGTTTTTCAGAAATTCCTAAGAGACTTGAAATTTTTCCAGTCATTCAATGAGTAAAGCCATTACAAACACTAAAGAAATTAGTTACCTGATTCCAGCCCAAACTCTAGATAGTTTTCTGTCACAATCAAAATTGCCATCGCTTTCACAAAGAAGAAAAAGCCAAAGGTGACGCAGACTGATCTTTCACCTCCTTCCTCCACTTTGAAATAATGGGTGGTCAATGAGAACAGTACCTTACTACACAAGAAAAAGGTCAAGGAAAATTAAGTTTGTAACATAACTACATTTAAGAATTTTAGAAACCACAACACATTTAAGAAACCAAAAATAAAACAATTGTTATTTTCAACATAAAATATCAACCCAAATGAAAAGTATTCCTAACTACATAATTCAAGATGTAATACATGTCAATTTCAAAAAATCAAAATCTTACTTCTAAATGCAACAACTGTAATCGCACGGAAGTGAATAAATATGTTTTTAACCAGAGATGAGCCATAGATGTTCTTCCAGGACACACAGCTCTACAGTGTACATGCAAACAGCAAGGAACAGGATGCTCCAACAAGCAGTTCTATCAATAATGGGATAAAATTTCTCTCATTTCTAAAAGGAGAGAATTTCTACTCATGAGAAGTAGGTGTTTGTCTTCTGCCTTACAAGAAATCGTGACAAGTGCCACAGGACTGCTGCTTATATTGTGAGGTGACTTACTAAGCAGAAAAAAACATGAAAAAATGACACTTGTGTTTCTCAACTTCCACATGCATCTGAGATTTCTCAAACAAACACAATAAAATAACAGTATATTTAGCACTTATCTATGAAAGAAAAACCCGTGCCATTCTCATTTTGAAAAAAATCTTACAAAACTGGTATGATATATTTAGTCTTTTCATGTAACCCCAGTGTCACAGATATTAATATCTAAGAAGCCACCTGCTCTGTTATCAAACTGGTTTTAGTGTTTATTGAGCAACGCATTTCTAAACATAATTAGTTCCAAAACAAAACAGTAGATAACTAAAATTTCTGTAGTATATTGCCAACAGTTATTAATACAAGCTAAAGCCCATTATATTTTATTTTTTTCCTCCAAGTGATAAATATTATCCAGTTCATGCTTAAATAAACTACTGAGATCACTTCAGACATTACCTACTTAGAAAAAAAAATAGAGAAAAAAAGAAAGACTTCAGTCTTTCATGTATTGTTGTTTTCCACTATACAACAACAATCATCCATATTTGCATTTCTTTAAATCCTGGAAATACTTTAAGATGCAGACTATGTGAAAATACACTTTAGAGTTATCTGTTCAATAAAACATTTAAACAGTTGTGAGTTAATACCTCAGAAAAAAACGTAATTATGCCATATTGCACTTCATTAAACAGCACGTATTTAATATATATGCCATTGTATTTCATTATTTCATTCATCATCTCAATATGAAATAATAAAATATAACAATGAACTCATCTAAACACTATGGTGGCCTAAGCACAGCATCTAACAACTCTTAAGTTCTGAGTAATTAACTTAAGCTCCCTTCAAACTTTACTGGTATGGTATCTCATACCTAAGTCTAAAGGAAGACCTCATTTACAGAAGACTTAACTTACACAGACAGTTTTAGAAAGCTGTGTTTCTTAACAGTGATCATTAAAAGAGCATCAGGATGATTTTTAAATATACGAGTTCAAAAGATGGTTCGCAACCTTGTAAACTTTTTTTTCCCAAAATGCAACTTTAATATATTTGACCAAAAATAATTCTTAAACCAAGCGTCGTTTTATGGGTAGGGATATTCAGCATAATTTGAAAATATACTTCCCAAATCTCCATTATCCAAAGTGCTTCATAAAGTTTGTAATAAAGAGTACTGACTTATAGATTTTAAAACACCCTATTTCATGTTTTTAACTATGGGCTCTGCATAAAGTATCTGGAAAAAAACAAGCAAACAAAAAAAATCATCATGATAATAAATTTCAATTGTACTGCAGATTCAGTTCCCTGTATGTAAAATTAAGGATTATGCAAATTTAACTGTGACTGAAACGCTCTGTTAGGCAACAGTGGTGATTATTCAACTGTTTTAGGAACAGAGGAAATCAAAGAATTACAGAACAGAAATCTGAGGTCTATTTAAGACTTCCTTTCAGTGCTCGCCCTATGCTTCAGGACCTACTGAACAAGTAATTCAGGAGAACACTGTGCTAAGTTAAGAGATTCCTTCTCCCCTCTGATTTCTTTATTTTGGTCACAAAAGACAACATGCCCGTAGACTTGAAAAATTATTTTTTAGAAAAATAAATTTATCTTTTAAGTTGATAAAATTCTGGAATTTTCAAATTATTCAGTCCACTGGTGTTTATGAACATGGCTGAGGAGAAAAAGATCCACCTTCAGTTCCTAATAAAATTCATAAAATTTTTGGACTCACAGGAGAAAAACAAACATGTATTATTTCTAACTGCATGCATGTTGAAAAAAATTGTAGTTTCCAGAGGTTATTTCAAGGTCTGAGTTTCTCTACATAAACCTTGAGTCAAGTTAAAAAAAGGCTGTTGCTTTCCTTTGATATGGCCACTGATACACTTTCCGAAAGAAGCCAGTCAGGTTTCCTAACCTACAAATAAAATTGGGTTACTTAAATGTTTTCAGATGAAAGGTAAGTTTTGCAGCTGAGAAATATCTCATTTATCATATACTGTATAAATTCTCCTAAATGCCTTTTGAGAGAAAGGCTAGAGTACAACACCTGTTTCAAGTTTTACAACAATTGAATAATATGACATTGTCAGTTGTTCTCAACATTGAATTTTAAATACCTGTACAAGTACAGCAATTGAAACATGGAATTATTATGATCTCTCAACCCTGTCTGTCTTACCCACATTCTGCCACCAATGAAACGTAAACACAAAACTCTTAAGTATGATTGCTGCTTCTGCTGCATTTACAGTTGTGATCAATAACTCAGTTCACTAATTGATTGTTTCTTATGACAAAAGCCACCTTCACAAATTTCAGAATAATGGAAATTGCTCTAGAATTAATTCTTGATGTTACATTGACTGTTCTCAGTTGAAAGTATGGGGGCTACCAAATGATGACGGATCATTTCTGGTCCTAACATACTGAATTGCTAACTAGTCATGTAAGTTTTAAAGGATTTTCAGCATACCAGAGGCCTGATGTCATAAAACAAGAATTAAACACTCTTCTGAAATCTCTTCTCACTCACCTAGCTTCCAGTGATCACAACGGACTGTTTCATTAATACCTCCATCACTCTTTGCACCAACCCCCTTCAACCAAAAAGCTTTAATGCCAATAATAGGTTATAACAACATGTTTATGGAGATGTTAACTCTAATATGAAGCCAAGTTTAGACAGAACTCAGCCTTCTGCATTGCCACTAACCCCTCAGACTGGACAGGATCACAACATCAGCCAGAAACCACACAGGTAATTAATTAAGTCAAGCCACTTTAGTATCAGGAAACAGTGACTTTACAAGGATTTCTACATCACCACCTACTCTGTAAAGAAGCCTCCAATAAAAGCAAGGTTTGTTTTATGTCACAGGAGAACAAACACAAAAACAGTAAATAAATTTGCACAAAGTATTAGAAGACTAGTCCTAACCATTTGTTTCCTTTGTGCAATTCACGAATTCACGCACCTATCACTGGATAACAAATCACAGCTTCTGTTGCATCAGCTCACAAACTATCCAAAAGGTAGACATCTTTTTTTTTTTTTTTTTGAGGTGATTAATTAAAATTTCTACAATTCAGGCTTCACTGTTTGAACAATGGATTTTAAAAAAACAAGTAGCTTTGTACGCAAGTTACTGATTTCCAAGGATTTCTTTTGGTACACTTGGTCCTACATGCAAGGCCATTCTGCTCCAGGCTTTCCCGAATTTGCCTATGTTTTCAGAAGTGCCACATGAATTTTAAACTTCAATTTCTCTAGCCTTTTTCTAACCCGAACAAACTACTAGAATTCCTTAAGAATTCTCTCCAAAGTATAGTATTATCAAAAAAAAAAAAAAAGAACATTTGTTCCTTACTTAATACACACTCAGGTACAATACTAAAAAAATTAAGTTAACTTTTCAGTTTGTTAAATAGAATTTAGCTTCTAGCATATGCTTTTTTTTGCTTTTAGTATAATTGTAAGATCAGGTAGAATAAAGAAAGTCTGAGTACTTCTATACATCATGCCAATGCACACATTAAATTTAGTTTTCACCTAGTACAATTGTCCTTTTATACTGCAAAATGATGTTTCTGACAATGGACAAAAATCACCTGTCCATTTCCACAGTACACCTTAAATTTGAAATCCCACATATAATTATGGGATTTGATAATCTACTTGAAGAGTTTTAGAATCAGAAATATGCTTCACGTCAGTGTTTCAAAGAACAACCACACGTTATTTGATATTTGTCTTAAATTCTAACATATAAACATTGCGCCATTTCCTCTCTGCCATACTTCCCTTTCAGTCACATAGGAAGGCTAGTGAGAAAACACAGGTAATGTGCTTCCAACACACACTCTGTTACAATCTCCTTCAGGTCCAAATGCTCAACTGGATCTCAAATGCTTGAAACAGAATAGGACAAGCATGAAAATGTTGGTTTGAGCTCAATTTATGTGAAAACAGCAGGTCAGAAAGAAGAAATCAGAAAAAGACCCCAACAGCCACTTGCATGTTCGTATTACTGAAGCAGAAAGCTGCCATGCAACCTAACGCTTATAAATTTCTCCAAGTGGTTTTGCCCTGAATGAATGACTAAACGAAAGCAGTGATTACGACTGCATTGAAACACCACTGTAAGAATGAAGTCTACCTTCCCACATAATCCATGCCAATATATAATTCACAACTCCACGTCACGCAGAGTTACAATCACTGTAGTATTATTTAAGTTGGTTACACCCAAGATTTGAAAGATGAAGCAAATAGATCGTTGCCACCAACACAGTAAAGAGTGCTTGTCTTTAGTATCTGAAGTCTTCCATTAGTTCATTAACCTCCTCCTCATTCTCAGAATCGGAGTCAAAGATGTTGGGTTTCATTAATTATTTCTTATGCAGCACCTACCTCTGTCTCTTTCTCCCCCTCTGTCTGCCAAGATTAAACTGTAATTCCTGATTTCATCCAACCAAATGAGAAAAGGCTGCCTAATAACACAGCTAATATGTCATTAAAACATGCACAAGAGCCAGCAGTGACCTTCTTGTCAGTACAGAGCAAATCAGAAAAACACTTTTTGTACCATGGGTCGTTCCACTAACAAGTAAGAGTCAATGGAGAAATACTTAGTCTGGAAGCAAGCTACTGCCAAGTTGCTTCTTTCCAGAATTTGTATCAACTCTGTCATCTAAGAAGTTCTTACTCATTACAAGGAAAATTCTGCATACCATTAATACTCCAGGCTGGTCAGAAAAGGAATATCTGCCCCTATTGTAAAGGCAGCACCTATTCTAACAAATATCAAAAAGAGAAGAGTATTAAGCATAGCCAGAACTGTCAGCCAGATATAACCTAGTTATATCTGAGAGTTATAACCAAGAGTTCAGGTTTTACATAAATAACATCACTAGCTACAGCTAACAGAAGGAAAAAAAAAAAAAAAAAGAGAAACAACAAAGAAATCACTGTAAGGCTCTGTGTTGAAAAGACATTCCACAGAGGGATCGATTTTGAATATTCAAGTGTTGTATCTTAGCGGGACACTTCAACCACTCATCAGCTGTTGACGAAACAGAGAAGTTGTACAAATTTATTTTGTAACTCGTCTCCCCATAACCTGCACTCCTCCAGGACCTTACTCAACTCCTTTGTTTCATCATCTCTCTCATATTTAAAAGACAACTTTCCTCTCCAAAGCCTGGCTTGGTTTGTGAAAGCAGTTCCTTACTGTGCAAGCATCGACATCAGATACTGCTTTATCCAGTAAAAACAAACACAACAGTTGCTTCTCTTATGGTTTGATATTGCCTGTTTCCTAAAATACACTGCTTTTGTTTCCCTCATTTGCAGAAGCAAGTGTAGCTTTCCAGAGATCACTGAAAACACAGTACCATCTCCGCTCCTACAGCTGTCTACAAGTTGTATTTTCTATGGAATCTAAGAAATAAAAATCTGGAGTTATGAATTCATGCATGAAACTTTACACTAAATGACTACATACATTATTTAGTTAAGGCAGTATCAGACTAAACATACCAGAAAAGCGGGCGGTACACTGCACGCTTCTTCAAAAATTATAAATACTATTTGTACAGAAAATGCATTGTAAGGCTGGGAAAAAAATTGTATTTGTTAACATGTCTTGGGTTTACAATAGCTACATACTGCATACGAGTATGAATTTTATGTTAACGTACATGTATTTTTTCCATAAATGGTTTGGAATAAATGTTTACAAGCAGCTGAGACCACCAAGTACGAAGAGCATGTACAGCATATACATTACCTGATGATAACGTTAGCTTATACAACCCTTTTTCCAAACGATAAATATTTATGTATTCTACAAACCAACAGTTCAGAGAATTCTATGAATTGCAAAACGATGTAAGCTATTTAGAACTCATAGAATGATTTAAGAAAACAGAAAAGGATACACTGCAAACGCCAAGACAAGCAGACACCACACTACGCTGATATTCATTTCTTGTGAGGGCTTCACAATACTGTAATAGGCTTCAGTCACCACATACACAACTGTAGCTGCAACAGTAAAATCCACCAGCCACTGATACTCAGGAAAGTAATGCAATGCTAAAAAATACAAATTTGCAAATGTTATAAAAATGTGATATTTTTAATTTTAATTTTATTGACATATGCAGTGATGATTAAAATTAGTTTTCAAGTAATTGATGTCTAGACAGATCCACATCATCGAAGTTAAGAGCATCAACAACGAGTCACGTTTTCCATTCAACAATCTCTCCTTTTAACCTGAGCCTCTCTCTTCACCTCTATTAATTGATACTGGGTTACTATTCAGTTATTTTTAATCCTACAAGATTTTTACAATTTTATCATCCCAGCCTTTAGACATTAACCCGATAATTTCAAAGAGCATACCTAATTCATATCTCAACATCACAATGGAAAATGGCTCTCTGCTTAATTTTAGCTACAGTTTCTATGTAAGGGTTATGATTCTCATGTTCAAGATTAAATGTTCACTGGCAATTGCTTAATGTATATACACATACTTCCTCACTTTCGTAAAAATAAAAAAAAAGTAAAACACTCAGTTTGCTCAAGACACTTAATGCCATCATTTCAAACAAAAACAGTAACTGAAACTTCCAAGTACTTTTTTTTTTTAGAAAAAAAAAAAGGTTCAAAAGAACTGTGCATTTCCGTCAAAGTTTTTTTCTGTGCCGTGTTGGATAATTTAAGCTGAGAAATCTTCTGCACAGCACTAAACTTCCTTTTTATGGTTATGCATATGCTTACCAAAATGTAAATAAGAAAACACATAGCACACATACAGAAGAGTCATATGGATATCTAGGTAACAAATTAGTTATGATTAAGGAATCCAAAATAATGGTTTTCAAAAAGCAGCAACTATCAAAGCATCTAATGCTGCTAATTTCTCCACTGTCACTTTTGGTGTTTAAGCATTTTGTGGGGGTGAAAGGTCTAGGCTTCACTACAACACTGTTTCCATTTTAGACAAGCAGAAAGCCTTTGTTCTACCATCTGCCAATTGTCATTTTCTTGTACAAACCTATGATCTGTTTCAAATACACCACGATGCAATCCTTTTGGTGTTGTCTCATATTGCTATGGATGTCTGGAGCAACAATACATGCACTTTATGCTGGATTTTACCTACTCATCCTTTCCCGTAACAATGCAGTTAAGATGTCACCCATGGAACAACAAAGGAGACTTAGATCTAATTCTTGGTATTATCAACTGCACTTTTATATTTTCATTGTCTATAAAACAGACACTCCAGCATTTATCGCAAATAAACATTTGACAGAAAACATCAGAATATATATTTAATGTATTATTGTCTGCATCTGTTTGCTCTTACCTATAGTGTCCCTTTCAGTCACAGACTTTGTTTCCAGATGAAGATCAATGTCCTTTGGAATGGTTAGAGGTTTGTTTTCAATATGACCATTATATTTCCTAGAACAATAAATAGATAAATACAATATACACAGTTAACACAATAACTTTTTTTTTTTTTTACATAATGGCGTTTCAAATTCAGAAGACCATTCTTCCTTTAAATGCAAACATTTTTATCTAGCTAGCTAAAAGCATTAATTCAACTTCAAATATGCGAATATCTCAAGAAACAACAAGGCATGTCAATAATTACTACCTTTATCTCTGCAAGGCTCTTACATACTGCTGTGGCTACACACATGGGTCTCAGTGGCTTCTATATGCTGGGTCCTGAGTACGTAGTAGAACAAGACCTGGTGAGAAACTTCTACTCCAGACTAATTTTCTCTGAAAGGTCGCTTTCACTGTTCAGGCTGCCAGGGAGCTATAGAGTAGTCTAAGAAGTTATGCCAGTCTCAACAGTTTTGTGATCTGAGTACAGCTACAGAGCAGAACGTATCTTTCCTGATAAACAAGCACCCTGACAAAAATCAAAGCTAAATTAAGACTCCGCAGTTGAGGTCTAGGCGAGGTTCCTCTCCACACTAAAATAAACAAACAAATTTCCCAAAATAGTATTAGGCCCATCGGGGCCTAATATAGTATCAAGAGTGTTGCCTCAACTGGACTAACTAGATCCTTGAAAGATATCTTACCGGCCATCAAGCAAAGTGAACTATAAGACAGTTTTTTAATCTAAAAGGTCACGTACAGAAATACTATAGTCTTATTTCAATTCACATCCTGGTTATGAAAACAATCAAAACCAATTATCATAGTATTATGAGCAATCCCAGACATGCAGTAGACCTTGAAAAGCAATCATCCATCTTTGGGAAGACATACAAAGCTATGTGTATTGCGATGCAGAGCCAAGGTTCAAAGCTGCATTCCAGGTTTTAACCACTCCTGCAGATACACAAAGGCTTCAAAAGGAGTTGCACACAAATTTATTTGCTCCTATCACGTGCGTAGTGGTGGACAACTTATTTATATGAAGGGAAAGACTACGGCAAGTAACAGGTGATCCTCACAACGCTAAAGCCTTCCTGGCTTCCAAAACTAAAGCAACTGGGGGATAATCTGAGACAGGGAATGCATCTTCTGAAACCACCATTTTTCCTGACTGACATGAATTTGTCGAATTCCTTTCTGAATCAGTCTGAAATGTGTTGACCTGTGCCGTGTCTCATGGTGGCGTGTTGTATCATTCACGTCCCAAATGAAAGAGTCCTGACACATACTTTACTAACTTCATTCACCACCTCCTTGTACAACACAGCAGTAAATTTACTACTCCCTATCCACTCCCTGTGCATAGTGGATACACACCTGTAGCTACACCCTCCGTCAACCAGTTCCCAGACTAGTAAACTTTACACTCCTCTTCCTTGTGAGGAAGCCTTACTTCGACATCATCATTCCCTTTTTCCAGTTCTACAGAATCAAATTTCAAATATGGTATAAACAAAAATATGTCATATATAATATGAAGTTATATTTCCCAAATTGCTAGTTAGAAGTAACAGTTTGAAAGAATCTTCCCCCCCCCCCTTCACCCCAACAGTAGACAAATAAACAACAGAAAAGATATTTAGAGCAACAAGTGCAGGTTTATCTGGAGCTCTGAAACTACATTAACATCATAAATCTTTAAAATAAGCCATACCACTACACTTTAAACTCAGGATGCTTGTAAAAGAGCTTGAAAAAAGTTAAGTTACATAAAATGGGCTGAAAGATCATCACGAACATAGGTAAAACTTTCTTCATCACTAAATATATAAAAAAAATAATTGAAACAGATCAAAAAATTCTTTCCCAGGTTAAAAAAAATAAAAACAATAACCACAGAACTCAAAAACCCCAAAATGGCTAGAACAAAACAGCATCCTTTGCCAGACTTTAGAAGAGCACCTCTGAAACGAGAAAAAGGAGAGGGATTTTCCATAAAAACAACAGCTACTAGGATAAACATTAAAAAGAAAATCAATCGTGAACGTACTTTTAAAGAATAAGATCCTCCCAGCTATCGTGTGAGCTGAGAATACAAGCAGAAGGCATCAATAAATACTATTTTTTCAGATGATACTGATATTACTATCACCTAAAGCACACTAATTTTAATGTACAAACTGCAATATAAGGATGGAAATACAAATCACTACCCCAAAATTTCCTGTACCCAAGTCTAAATGAGAACTTGCTGCACTGCCCAGCTGCTTGAGTGCCCAAGCTTGTGTGCGCTTCCCTGCCCCGGCTATACTCATGTTCTGCTGTGTGCCCCCAGGAGTACCATCATCGTGATGAAGATAAGCATTTGGATAACTGAAGTCATTTCAGATCAACTAAATTCCTACACTTTAGTCATCCCAAGGGACCCATAATCTAAGAGATATAGAACATACCCAGGATGTCTAACAGCTTTAATTCTAAGTAATTCATAGTAGCTACGGACCTTTTCATTAGCCTAACAATTTAACACAACACAAACAACTCTGAAACAAAAATCCACCTAATATTCATCTGCTATGATAACCTATAGCATAATATTCTGAAATGTAATATGCATTCAGTAAAACAGACTAATAAAATACAAGTTCACACAACAGCTGTGTTTTCAAACAAGTTCCTTAGATCTCCTTTCACCATTTTTCTTCTTATTACTTCAAACTGAAAAATTACTGAAGGAACAGGCACTATATTTCACAAAAGTAAAAGCTTGATGAAAAATATTCTTTAACCTGAAGAGACAAGAAAAAAAAATGTGTTGTTATTTCTCCTGCTCTGTTTCACATCTCCTTCGTTCAACAGAGCACTACATTCCAGTTCGTGCAAACTAAAGAAGTATATCCAAGCCAATTCAATAGGAACAGTTCCTACTTTAACAGTAGGACAGTAGTTCTCCAACAGCAGCAGCTTCTTTAGATGGAACAGAGGTATATTGATTGACTGAAAAGTAACGATATTTTTATTTTACAAAGACAAAGCAAAACAAGCAGCATTTAAGCCTCTGTATAACCCTCCTGCTTCCTCTGAGGTTTCCTATCCACCTGTTGTTAATGACGTTTACCTTAACACAAGCAACTCCCTATTACAAATGTATTTTCTTGGTTACATATTAATGTAGTATGATAATTATGTCAATTATAATAATAATAGACACCAACAAGATTTGACTGCCTAGACAAAAAAATATAACATCACATTTGAAACGTTAAATGCAATGGCTTAATAGTTGAAAAGGGACTTAACATATGTGTAGGTGGCTTATGATACAGGTTCTTATTATGTTTCACAGTAAATTTTCCAAAGACTATGAAGTTTAAGATTACATGAACTTGTCCTGCTTTCACTCTGCAGAGCGTGCAATTGCTCTGTTGAAAGTAAGAACACGGGCACATGCTTTGAATGGAAGACTGGCAATGCTAAGGAAAGGCATTAGCAAAGTAGAATTATTTTGTAATGTGATTTTTGTTTAAGGCTCCTATTCATGGACTTAAAATTTAGTTAGGTAATTAAAGTTATTTTACACATAGATTAGTATTACAGACTAAACGGACAGTTACAAATTTTATTCACAATTTTATGCACAATATTTTTTTTTGTTTCAACTTGTTAACAGAAAGCTGATAGATGAAAGTGAGGTCTAATAACACAGGTGTTAGGAATAGTAAGAGAGCCATTCATACTGGAATAAAAGACAAAGGACTGCAGAAAACCTCACAGATCACGAAGAAGAAAGACAGAATGTTTTTGCATTTTGTTGTTTGGTTTTAACACAGCCAGTTCAGAAATTCCACACCACAGCAAGCTCTAACAGACCAAGCTCCACCTCCTCCAACTGCTCTTGCTGCTGTTGTACTTTTGGTGAAGCTGTTCCAGATCCTCACGACTGAACAGGAGAAACCTGTTTGCACCTGAAGTTGAAGGACAGCTCTGTCATCCCTAGGTTAAATAAGCCCAGCTCTTCTAGCCTCCTCTTGTAGACAGGCTGTTTCATGGATGATCCCTGCAGTTCACCTGTTCAAGTCTGAATTCAGTTTTCTTGAACATGAGTGATTAGAACTGTTCACAGTAATCCCGGTCAAGTTCTATAAAAGTGCCCTGTGCAAGAGGATTAATATTTTCCTCCCTTCTCCTAGAATATACCTCACCTAAGATATCCTAGGAGCACATTTACCACTTTCATAGCTGTCTAGGAGTAGTGGCTCACTATAATCCTGTATTCAACTAGTACACTCAAATCTTTCTTCTTTTGCTTCAAGATAAAGAGCTTCAATCCTAGAGAAGATTTGCTTTCCTCAGTCTCCATGAAATGAATAGATTCATTAAAAAAGTCCTTAGCAATTTTACACGCTACTTTTAAGGACAGAGATTCATCTGATCCTACACAATTTGGACATGTTTAACACTCTCTAAACTGAAAAAACAATTCAGTACACAGCTGTGGAAATGTCAGCACTGTGGTCATATGCAACATGAAGTTTTAGAGCCACAAAGACATAAGATTGACAGCAAACTTGTTTTATGAATCATATAAAAATATGGGGGGGGGAGGTAGGGAATGACAAATATTTACCTATCTTTTTTGCTCTTCCCTCTTTGTTTCCCTGCAAGAATCCGTAGTTCTTCTTCAGTAGGATGTTGATACCATCGTAAACTAATGAAAAAGAAGATCTCATGTAAAATAGTGTCAGCATTAGCAACTTCATGATTTAAAATATATATATATATATATCAACACAGATCTACATGTATATTGAAACAACAGTCATTTGCAACATCTACGCAAAATACCCTTATAAGTGCCAGCACTGTCTGACCCAAACAGCCACAGCTAAACTTCCAGGATGAGTCACTAATTAGATACCATTAGAAAGCTTTAACATTATCCTTCACAGCATGTCCTTCACTTCTCAAAACAAGTAACTATTATCAGTCTTTCTTCTTACACAGACCAGATCATTATATCTGTGTTTCTGTCCTAACCAACACCCCCCCACTGATAACTTCAATCTAACTAGAAAAAGGAAGAAACGAACACCATGGCTTACAAAAGCACAAATACTTATAAATTAGAAGTATGTAACTGTAGCCTAGAAAGATGTTAGCATATTTCATTATTTCATTTATGGATTTGATGCTTAAGTGTTACTTTAAAAAAAAAATCACTAATTTTCATGTATCTGAGCTGTAAGACTTTCCTCTTTCACAAGTCACTGCACCATTCCCTTATTTAAAAGACAAGTGGTGGCAAGGGAGTTCTGAAGAGTGATGGTTCAGTCTCAAAGATTTATCCTTATTTCTATGCAAGAACCATGGTAGCTGAAGTAAGGTCTTTCCCACATGGTAAAAGTGGGCTGCCCTTCACATTTAGGATGACTATCACTCTGATTTCCATGCTGAAATGCTAAGCTAGAGGAGCCTAACTATAAACAGCAACAGACTAGGAAAATTTATATTTATCCAAATATATGTGTACGTCCTTTTCTGGAGAAAGCCGCTGTTTTGTGTTACAGGTTAACGCAGGGTAATAATCAATAATCAGAAACAGCTATAACCATCACTATTACTCTGGTTAAAAAAAAAAATCTCATCGAGTAGGACCACTTAAATCTAAATCAGTGAATTTAAGATTATTATAGCCAAAATTCTTTACCTGTTTAAGTATCCTTGATTGGTGTTAGTATACTAAACAACAACTTGGTCTTAATTACCCTACAAGATTATATTGCAAGTGATTCATAGTTACAACTAACAGGATACAAGAGGGTTCTTTTACAAAATAAACCTTACAGCCTCCAATTTAAATGTTAAAACCAAAAAGATTTCAAACATTTTCATAAAAGGTAGAGCTGAAAAAATATTTAGTTTGTATTTGCATTGGCTTATGCATGTTTAAAGCTGAGACAACCCTGTAACTTTGACAGATTCGAATTCATCTCAATAGCAAAACCAGCACAGATATGTCCTAGTTAATTTAAATACTATCATTAATAAATGCAGAACAGAACACCATTTTTCTCTTGTCTTCCTACAGTGGTGTGGAAATAGAAGAACAGAAGAGGCTGAGCAACCTAAAAGCAACATTTTGGTAGAGACGGTTTTACTAGTTAAAAATGAAAAGGCCTATACAGATACTCGGGCCGCAAATTGATTTACTTAATAAATGTGAATATTCATATTCTGTTCAAGCTCTGAAAGCAGCATCATTCGAAAGAGTTTGCATTCCTTCTCAAATATAAGTAAATAGTTTTTCAACAGTCAATTCTTGTTCAGTCTGCAACCAATTCTTAGGGTGGATATAAGGTGCTCTTAGATTTTGAAACACCTTTCTTTCTTTTAATGGACTCTGAATGCGCACATGCAGTCACCTTGAGACAAACTTTTCTTAGACAACTTAGAGATGCTGACTTTACTGGTAACGTGTTTATCCTCCCTCCCCTTTGGGGAGAGCTCTCTCTTGTAGGTATTTCTGATGACTTCACTTAGAAAAGCCTCCAACCTCTTTGGAAGAAAAACATTTAGGCCAAATAACTTAAAACCACAGATCAGCTGAAATATATTGACAAGAGGAAGGAGGAAAAGGTGGTAACATTTCCGAGGAAAGCCTGACTGCAGCATGTGTGGTGTACATGTACATGTGTGTAACACTCTCCATTGCCCCACTAACACAGGTCTGTCAAAAAAACACTTGTTTGCAAGTGTTCATCTCTAAGGAAAATATGTTAATGTAAGCTTGTCAGCTAAAGGAAGAAAATAGACATTTTTCCTTCTGACAGTTAAATTCAGATTCCTGTTTCAGCAAAGCTTCTGGCTTGTTTTCGTTTCTGGAAGACAGAAATATTTCTGTCTCTTCACACAATTCTTGTATTCTGAGGGTTATTCACAATGACTGAAACTACAATGCACTAAAATAGTTACCAGATAAATAGAGCACTGAAAAGCAACAGTGATGAGATTTTCAAGGTTACTAGTATGAAAAGCAGTAACAATGCTCCCATTGACTTCAGTGGGAGCACAACTACAAAAAAAAAAACTTGCTTTATGTACTTATCAATCTGTAGGTGTGCAAAGATAAAGAGAAAAGGATGACAAAACATATTTGAACACCAAACCTTTCCCTTTCACTGGCACAAGGTATGCCTTAGAATAAGAATCTGAAAATGCCAAGAAGAATGAAGAACAAGGGTTTAATATTGAACAAGTCTTTTTAAAAAATACAATATTTAAACTCTGAAATCAAAATTTAAACTAATGCTTTAAATGTTAAATAAAAGTAGTAAATATTGTTTGAATTATCATTGATAAAAGCTCAAGAGTAGTAACACACCATAAAAAACAAAGGTTGCAGTTTCACATTACTAAAAATTGTGAAGAGTTCACTTACAAAGTAATAGTACTTCAACAATGAAATTTCTCATAACAATTAAGAGTACGATTCCTCTTTGTATCATCTGCCTGCCAACAGATCTGTTTTCCATTCCAACTAACAATACTTATATCACATTTAAACAAGAGTTATTTTTCATTTCCCATTATCTTTGTGTTGAAAAGAGGAAAATTAAAAAGAAAAAAACACCGTTAATTCCAAGATGCAGAGGTAAAAGGGTGAAAGGGTGGTGGAAAATTGCACAAGACCAGTTAAGAATCCTGCAGAGCACATTATTATTCAAAGATATTCCTACAGAACTCAGAGTAGAGATTTTGTGTTCTCAAGATTTTAACAATTACGAAAGACAGCATACTACCTTCTAATCATACAAAAGTGTTTTTCTTCCCAGAAGAAAAAAAAAGAAGCATTTTCTTTTCATTTTTATTTTTTAATATTTAAGATACTGATTTATATTCAAAACAGCTGCTGCTTTTAGTTATTATGGATACAAACACACAGGGAATGCTCCCCTTGCAACTCATTATATCTGCTTGATCTATTGTTATGAAAATACTACACTGAAATTTATACTAATCCTGTCCTATGAAGTATTAAAAAAAAAACAGGATTCTTAATAAATGCCTACATACTCTGTATATTAGCAGGTGCATTGTTAAGCATATATTCTTTAGAGCTTTGTATTTAGTTTAGCTTCTCAGTATGCAGCCTTTGTCTTTAATAATGTAGAAGGTGGACAACAGCTAACTTTATGGCTGATACAATTAACAGCACAAACAAGACTGTCCATTTCCAGCAGCACTGCTGTTACACCTTAAACCTGTAAGTCAGGTGTCACAGTCCTGTGTAAATAAAGTTCAAGAACAGCGGATTGCTTTCTTGGAAAGTAATTAAACTAAATTGGTACATATTCACAAGCAGTGTAGCAACTATGTTTTTTTTTTGTTTTGTTTGTTATCTTACCTGCCACTGCAGAGAAGCCATCGAGCAAGAGAATAATGAGGTATGATCTTCTGTATGACACTAGCCATTACCATGGTCACCACCAACTGTACACCTATCACACCCTGTAGAGGAATAAGTTAAACAACAAGTGAGTATGTTTTTAAAAAGTGCTGATGAACCTTTTTGTTTGTTTTTACACATTAAAAGCATCTTCATATCACAGGGATAACATTTTTTCATTTCTTTTTAAACTAGACAGGAAAAAAAATAAGTGCTGTACCAGTTTTCAATAAATCACATGGACCTTGCCATCATCAGGTATGTGTATCACCTAAAAACAGAAGTGTTGGTGGATCACAAGGCTAGTAGCATCAGCAACTCTCTGACAGATGATGCTGCCTGCACCAGAGTGCCTCTGCTCACCAGGTTGTAAAGCTACATCTTGACATGGCACTCCACGGTACGCCACACCTCGATGTTACATCACCGACTATAATCTTGCTTTTTGTGGTCATTTCAGTTCTGGCATGATTTAAGAGCTGACACCAAACAAACCCACTGGAGCTAAGAATTTACAACACCTACGTTTCGAAATTTCAGCCTTCTATTAGTACAGAGCATTTGCTCCTCACTGAAATGAAGGAGCATATGGTAAAGGGAGGGGAGGGTGCACAGGAATAGACGTAACTTCAGTGTATCACACAAATCTTGATCAAGATTTGGCACATGAGCAGGGCCAGCAGAACTCTCACCCCTCGTCACTCAGCAAGCTGTAATTCTGACTGTTAGCTCTTGCTTGTTTGTTGTTGCTTTATTAAGCAATAATAAACTTCTCAAGCATAACATACGAAAATATGTTCAAAATTATATATTGATAATATATATTAAAATAACAATAACAATATTGCTATAGATATATAACAATATATTGTTATAATAAAATAACAATGAATGCAACGTTGCATCACTTTACTTTAATCCTGCACATGAAATTCTATAAATTAATACCATGTTAAAAACATGAAGTACGTACATTTTATTTTCTTGTACTTCCAAGGCTTTCAAACTTAACATATAACAAGCAATAGAAGAAGAAAAACTATCCAACCGATATGAGTAAAGTTCACCAAAACACAGCTCTGAAAAGACATCAGCCAAATAAGCTATTCCCACTCTTTCAAACTATTTTGGGGAATACTTTCTTGTGAAATGGAGTATACGTACATTTTCAAATAGCACACAAAATACTACATTTAAGAAATGGTATGTACATGTTTATCTTTCCATTGATTCTTAGACATGTTTTGGATATTGCTAGTTACTAACAATGCCTTGAAGAGAAAATATTTCTGTCTGCAGTTGTAGAAGTTGGGAATTACGCTTCAGTAGCTCTGTATTGATATAACGTGTAATAGAAGATCAAGAGGTACAAATATTTCTATATACAGAAGCAGTATGCCATTAACCAGCAGCAAAGAACGCATAGATGGGCTCACTTTTTTAAAAAAAATCTTTTTTTTTCTTTTTTTTCTTTTTTTAACATTTAAATGGAATATTCTGTATTGTGCACGTTGCCTTTTGTCCTTTCACTGGGCATCACTCTTAAAAAGTCTGGCTCCACCTTGCTAATTCCCCACCCCAGCTCCCATCACGTATTCATACCCCAGGACAAAATCCCTCCCGAGCTTTCACCAGGCTGAACGGTCCCAGCTCTTTTAGTATTATATATAAAGCCCCTTTTGGTATTTCAGAGTCTCCTTGTTGCAGCCTCATTTGAAAGAGCAGGATTGAGTGGTAGTCGTCGCAAGGCTTCGTGGCCTCTTCATTACATCACAAATGTGAGCCCACAGCAGGCAGCAAACCTTTCTATAAGTGTCCAGACAGCAAACGGGCACATCAGGGCCTCTGAGAAAGACCTCTCCAGTTATGAAAACCCTCTGCATTTTTTTGGTGGTGCTGGTCCTAATACAGGTGGTTGGTTGGACCTACTTTGTAAATGACCTGACCCCAACTAAACCTCTTGCTTACTTCCTATGCCTGAGTTTTGCAATGAGCTGTATGTTCACCCCCATGTTTCATGTCCTGCATATCAGCATCGATTGTTCTTGAGCTTGAAAGAGGTGATCCCTGAAAGTCAGCCAGCTTTCACACACCCCTCTTCTCTCCAACACCATGCTCCACAGGATTCTTCCAGCTGAGGCCTAAACAAGCCAGAGTCTGGTGTCCTGAAGACTAGCTCTGAACCTGCTATTTGCCTTGTTTCCTTCTCCCAACATCCTCAGGCCTACCATCCGATGGTTACTGCAACAAAGGCTGCATCAGCATTCACATCACTGACCACTTCTTCCTTGTTTGCACGTCTGAGGTCCAACAGAGCACCCTTCCTCATCCCTTTCTCAGTCACCTGTGTTAGCAAATTGCCACCAATGCACAGCAAACACCTCCTGGATTGTTTGTATCCTCCTGTGTTCTTCAGCAGACGCTGGTGTGGTTGAAGTGCCCTGTGAGAACCAGTGCCAGCAGCATGAGGATTCTTCCAGCTGTCCGAAGACGGGCTTATCTTCCACGCCTTTGTGAATAAGATGTTTGTGCACAGCAGGCACTTGCACCACACATATTGCTCAGCCCTAGTACAACTCACCCCTAAGCTCTCAGACAGCTCATTCCTCATCCCATGGTACACCTCCACACATCCCTGCTGCTCTCAAGCAGTGAGTCTTCCTCACATCCCAGTGATCACAGCCACACCAACCCCTCACGTCCATTTTGTTCCCCATGCTGCAGGCATTACCATACAGTCACATCAGGAATGCACCAATTGCCCAGAAGAGGTAAGACAGCTTCTCCCCCTTAATGCTGACCTCATTACTTGTGTACAGGTATTTCCTTATTTATGTACATCAGTGGGCCCCATTCTGCCCTGATCAGTTGTTTTCAAAGACTTTCAGACCACCACCTCCTCCTCTTGATTTGTGAGTCACCAGCTCTTTCCTCCATCAGTGCTCAACTAAAGCTCGCCTCACCAGGTTCACCATCCTGTTAGCAGAGATGCTTTTTACCCCCACTCGATCAGGTGGATGCTGTTTCCTCCTCACAGTCTTCAATCTTCAGACAGGAGTCATAAAAGTCTCCAGCACAGTCATGAAAGTCAGGTCCAAGCCACAGACACCTGCTACATAACCAGCAGCTAACATAATTTTTGTTTAAATAAACCACAAATCGTGTTGTCAATTCTGCCTTTATGAAAATCATAGATCAGTTGTTACAGGCGATGTCCAGCATCATCTTTAATGAAACAGGACTGAAGAAGATCGATAGCATAACCTACCTTTTTCCATTTGCAACCACTTAGAATAAATTTTATCAAACATTTCATAATGAGGTTTCAAGTGCCACTTAGAAGTATTTCCTACGTTGTTGTAACTTGAAATAAGATGTTTGGGTTTTCTTCACCTATTAAAATTTCCTTCAGTACTCAAGCCTCTCTAGCACCCTTGAAATTTCAGCTGCTCCTTTACATTACTCTCATCACGTACTTCGAAAGACTTTACTTTTGCTTATGATCCAGCTTAGTCCTGAAATCTCTGTGTATTATTTTAAACTCTGCATTTTTATTACAGATTTTTGGCGTCTTGAAGCCATGCAACTAAAACGACTCAAAACCATTCCCTACCTAAGGGGATGTATAACTAAAATGAAAGGAAACGTTATTAAAATAAGCTGCCTGCATAATATAATTAGTATGTTTAAATTACTATATAGCTCGTCGACTATATACCCTTTTTACAAAAACCTGTTTACAAAACCATACTTGTTTACAAGTATGTTTAGATACTTGTTTAAGCTTGTCTACAAAACCTTACATTTCTAAAACCAAGCATTTATTCTGACCATCTTACGATAAGCCTAAGCATTTCTCATATTCAAATAATGGGACAGAAACACCACTGTCCCTTGACCACGCTTGTTTGCTTAAGTCTTCAACTAAAGACAGCTAAGAGGAGAGAAAATGATGCATATCAAGGCAGTTAAAAACAAAACAAAACACCACCACAACGTAGGAGGTCCACTAGCTGAGTTAAAATGCTTACCAATCAACAGATTATTTAGAAGTGTCCCTAGAGAAACCCATTTCTTTTCTCAAGTGAAGGCTGCAAGTTGTAACCCATCCCATTAGGATCATTCTGTCCTAAGCAACTGAATGCCTCTCTGCATCCTCCCTGCTCCCTTTTGGCAGGAATTCACCATGCTCATTCCCATAAAGGTTGCTCCTGTGTTCCTTAAAAACAGAAGCACCTACAAAAATATTTCAGCTTGCAGCTGGAAATAACCTAGCAGGTTTCTAGGAATAAAAAAAAATAAAACAAAGCACATAAGAGCAGCAACAATACTGCTAACTCCGACTTTACGTTAGACTTTGAGGCAGGTATAGCCTTGTGGTATCTTTTTACGTTTCAACCAATTAAAAATGGATATACTCATGCAATCAGTGCATTTTTCTCTTGATTTCTGAACGTGTGTAATCAACCAAAAGCAGTAGGTTACCAGAGAGAAGCTGTCACATGAAATTAAAAAACGTGAGTGGGCAGTATGCCCACTCAAAATAACACAACATGTGCAGAGCACAACACTATGCCAACGCTTCTACCTGCGCATACTTACACACTACTCATTCACACGTGTAGTAGTACTCTCTAGAAGAGCCCACACCATCCCAAACCATCTCAAATTGCAACATGAGGTCACAGCACTTCTCCCTCACAGGAAACCACAAACTAAAGAGCTCATTCCAATGAGGGCCCTGTCTAGAACAAATCTCACACATGCTTATAAGCCTTCCTATTACCACTAATACCAGTTTAAATACACAGCCACTCATTTCAGGAATATAAATGCAGATTGGGTATTGGTGGGAACCAATTCCCGATTCTCTGTTGACACACTTTACAGAATTTAGCATTTTGCCAGAAATCCACAAATTAAAAAACAAATTAGCCCTCCTTAACAGAATACGACAAATATTTGAATGTTGTTGTTGTTGATAAATATTTGAGACATTGTTCGAGGACAAACCAATTTTACAAGAAAAAGTCTTTCATAAAAGGCATTTTAGAGATGAGCAACTGCTGCACAGATTAAGTAAATGGTACGAAGTACCAGAACAGTTTGTGGAAAACAGAAGAATGTGAGCTCATCTACTACAACTGCAGCATCCTCTGATTCCACATAGGTCCACATCCCTGCCATGCTTCAGCTCTGCAGCTTGGAATTTGGAACCAAAATTCAAGACACTGGAGATGTAAGTCACTATCTTGCTGATCAGAAAAGCGTTTCTGCCAATCTGAACAGGGCTGAGAAGCACTCAGCCCTAAGGAACGACCGTCCAGTTTCTCTGCAGAAGAGAGGCTGGCAAGCAACCCCAGGGTCAAAGATGAGACTGGAACAGAACAACCAGTGACTACAAGGTCTAATACATTTTAGACTTGTTGAAATTTTCTTTCAGAGGAAGATCTTAGTCAGAGGTGGTTTAGAAGTGTCAAGCACTTCCAGGGACCTTGACAATTCCAGGACCTTGCAAGAAGTATGGAATTATTTCTTTCGCTTGTGCAACATCGCACACATTTTACAAGAAATTTTTAATAAAACATAACAGTTTGAATGCCAAAGTGGCCTACAAGAGAGGTGTTAGCAGCTACACTAGAAGGTAAAATAGCCAGGCTCTTAAAGCCTTCAAAAATGATGGTAAGCCCAAAAGGCAATACGGCAAGTTTGAATAAAGTATAACCTAGACTTTGGCCTTCACAGTCTGTACCTCTAGCACCATGTAAGTAGAGACACTGTTGGTGATAATTAGGAGAACAAAAAGCAAGAAAAAGTAATTATGATAACATTACAATACTATCTACAAGTGATGTGTACCTATAATACAACTATGGCTCTCTCATAATAGCACCAAAAGAAAAGAAAAACAAACGTTTGTAAAAGTCATACTTCTAAAGGACGTTTTCCTATTCATCATGAACTTATTTACAGAACATGCAAAACAAAGGCAACCGAGGTTGATGCCAAGGCATGACTTCAGCCTCATTTTGACCTTGCCCAAGGTTATTCTTGCAGCACCACATCAGGGTTTTACCTTGTCTTCTGCCCTCCAAGGCTTTGTCTCTTCACACCCCTGCGTACTACTAATTCAGTGCCCAGCTTTGCTCAGGACCTTAAAGCTACTTGTCTGTAACAACATCCAGCTCCAGCCCTGCACAGCGGTCTGGGTCTGAGGCCAAGAGCTGCTCGCAGCGTGGGGACTGCTGAGAACGGTGTTCCAGCAATAAATACCACGGCGTGCCCGAGAGTGCAGCTAGGAGAATCCAGCCCACAGCTTCACATTCAGAAACGCAGTGTCAGCCACTTAACTTCTTGAAGCGGCAAGTCTTGCAAGAGCAAGACTTTTACGTGACTGCACTGGAGTATCCTACAGATGTTGATGCAGGTCACAGCAAACTCTCTGTGTGGCGGCACACAAACTTACTTGAAAATCCATGACCTTTTTGGCAAGATGTAGAAAAGCTTTTATATTGGCAGCAACCGGCGAGATTTCTAGGATGTAACCAACACTCCTGCCTCACACAATTCCAAAAGTGGGATGGTATTCGTGATGCCTTAGAGCTGAATACAATATATTTGAAATGCCATTTAATCAATGACACATTCTGGCTCTTACTATTAGATCAGACTTTTCCACAGGCAGAGTTTTCTCCCAGTGTATATATATACATGCTCAAGCTGAAGCTTGTGTAAGCAGAACAGTGCTTCGCAGAAATGCAAATACAAATCAAGATTGCTTGTTAAGCATCATAAAATACTGTATGGGATGCTCACACGAAACTGAGTTCACTGTACAAAGCCTTAAAATGTACACTTCCTATGAAAAAGAGTGCTTTTACAAAATGCCTGTCAGCCAGATGGGTGTTTTACACAGTTGGTAATCTCAGACAGAGAATATCTTACCAGCTGTAAGTATCAAAAACCCATGAAGCTCATTTTAGGAAAGGCATCTACAATGAGAGATGTCCTTCAAATCTGGATTTTTTTCCTTGTTTTATGACCAAAATTTCCTGAAATTGTATTTTCCTACTCCTTCTGCTGTATCAGCAACACAGCAGAAAGGAACAGAAGATCCAATGTTGTGAAACAACACGTGAGGAATTCCAGAGACTACCACCAAAGCGCTCACCTTCATGGGTCTTTCCCACCCAAGAGGACAACTCTGCCTCAATCAGTGTCTCTCCCTGCGTTCAAAGGAGAGTCACAAACTGGAGATGGGAGCAGTCAACAGCAGCACCACTGCCTTTGCATCAAGGTGTTTCCCCACCAACCAACTCTGTGTTGGTCTGAGCGGAACAAGAAGCACGAGCGCTCTGTAAGCATCGTGACTACAGAACCAGCAACCATCAGGCAAGTCAAGCAGAAACCTCACGACCAGAACCAAGGCACCTTTAAAGTCATAAAATTATCATTATTCCTGAAGCAAGTGATAGAGAACACCCCTGAGGCAGAACACTGAAAACTGATCTGCTACAATGGGAAAAATAAAATAAAATCCTAGGTTAGATCATACTGCAACCAGCAGATTCTTACAATTTAGTTTACCTGTATTTCCCTAGGCAAAACACAAGCTGGAAACTTGGAAGATCTCTCACCAAAACCTTTTTTTTTTTTATTTTACATTGAAAGCTCGGCCATTACAAGAATCCCTCCAAGAATGAAAAGTTCAAAGTAACGCTGAGCACCCCAGCCACCGTCGCCTCACGGCACGGCCTGTTCAGGCGGGTTTTGCCGCTGGATTTTAAATGCAAACACCCGAAATGTCAGTGCAGGGCTGGCGGCTGAGAGCCCGGGCAACCGGCACCGCAGCCGCTAAGGTGAGCGTGGGCGCAGCGCTTTGCGGGGCTGTGAGCGCCTTTATCTGTATGCCCAATGACACAAAATAAATGAAAATAAATGAAAATAGGGTAAAATAGACAGTAAAATAATTAATAGAGAGTAAAATAATTAATAGAGAGTAAAATAAGTAGAATACAATAAAATAAAATAAGGAAACCTGAGGCAAAATAAGGAAACCTGAGGCAAAATAAGGAGAAAACTGAGGCAAAATAAGGAAAACTGAGGCAAAATAAGGAAAACTTGAGGTAAAATAAGAAAAACTTGAGGTAAAATAAGAAAAACTTGAGGTAAAATAAGGAAAACTTGAGGTAAAATAAGGAAAACTTGAGGCAAAATAAGGAAAACTTGAGGTAAAATAAGGAAAACTTGAGGTAAAATAAGGAAAACTTGAGGTAAAATAAGGAAAACTTGAGGCAAAATAAGGAAAACTTGAGGCAAAATAAGGAAAACTTGAGGCAAAATAAGGAAAACTTGAGGCAAAATAAGGAAACCTTGAGGCAAAATAAGGAAACCTTGAGGCAAAATAAGGAAAACTGAGGTAAAATAAGGAAAACTGAGGCAAAATAAGGAAAAAACTGAGGCAAAATAAGGAAAAAACTGAGGCAAAATAAGGAAAAAACTGAGGCAAAATAAGGAAAACTGAGGTAAAATAAAGTAAAATAAGGTGAAATAAAGTAAAGTAGATTAAATAAAGTAAAATAAATAAAACAAAATAAAATAAATACAGTAAAAAAGATAAAACAACGTAAAACAAATAAAGCAAAACAAAATAAACTATTTCAATATTTCACCATTAAACTCACTAAATACCTTTATTTTTTAAAACAACACGTGGCGGTGTTACCTCTTTACCGGACGTTTCCCCGCACACGCTGCTGCCGCTCTCCCCCCGGCCGATTCCCCCCCGTCACCCCGTTACCCCCCCCCCCTCACCATGCTGCTCCCGCCGCCGCCCCTGCAGGCGCCCGTCCCGCCGCGCTGCCCCCGGCCCGGCGCGGCCCCGCCAGGCCCCGCGCCGGCTGCCGACCGCCGAGGTCACCGCAGGCCCCCTCCGCCGACAGGACCCCGCCCCGCGCGGGGCTGGCCGCCGCGCTGCCTGCGCTGAAAGGGAGGAAGAGACAACACGCGGCGCCGCTGCGAGCGCTCCGCAAGACGCCCCTTAGGATTCGTATACACAGAGAATATGGCAGGCGCTCAGCGTTGCGCAGACAGAGCCTGCACCCGGCCGCACCGCCCGACAGGCGCGGAGGGCAACCAAATCCCTGTGAGGGGAGCGGGGCGGTGCGGAGAGAGCTGGTGCGGCGCCTTGACGCATGCGCAGTGCTCGCCGCCCGGCGAGGCGCACAGACGCGCATGCGCCGAGAGCCTGAAGGGGCGTGAAGGAACACCCGCTCCCCGCCTCTGCGCACGGCCCCGCCCCCTCTGCGCACGGCCCCTAACGGCCGCTGGCGGCGTCGTGAGGCACCAGCAGCCCTGGTCAGAGGGAGCTGCTGCTGCCCCCCGCCTCACGGGGCTCCTCCTGCTCCTGGGGGCTGGTTGCAGCTGGGACCTTGCCAAATTGCTCTGGATGTGCTGGGCAGCTCCTCCGTGTCAGGGCTTGCGTGGCTGGTGGAGGGCGCAGGGCTGGTGCTGATGGCTCCCTGCATGGAGGCACTGGGATGAGAAGTAGCTGCAGGGCTGTCCTCCTGCGCCCTGGCAGCGGGGCTGCTCTTGAGGCCCAGCAGCCTCCTTGCCTCCTCTCCGCAGAGACCCTGCGCTCCCTGAACAGCGCGGCCCAGTCCTCGGGCAGGAGGCCGCCCACAGCAGCCCCGGTGCCAGGCTCCGCATCCCTCTCCTTGGCTGGTGCAGAGGACCGAGCCGGCACTGCAGGGCTGTGGGGGGCGGTGGCGCTGCCTGCCTGGAGGCCCTTAGGTACAGGCACTGCTGGAGGGGAGATGATGCGTTCCAGGTAGTCTTCCTCTCCCCGCACGGAAACCTTGATGGTCCTCATGCCCGTCCTGCAGAGCGGGCAGCTCGCCTTCAGCTTCGTCCAGCGCTGGATGCAGCCCACGCAGAACCTGTGGTGGCAGGGTGTCACATTGGCCACGTCCCTTCACCCCTTCCGGCAGACGGGACACGTCCACGCCTCCTCTGTAGCCATGGTCTTCAGGCTGCACTGGGGAGAGCTGATGGTGACGAGCTGCTCCCCTGCACCGACACTGCAGAAGCAGGTATCAAACGCGCTACAAGGAAGAGAGAGGGTCACTGGCTGTGCCCCAGCCCCTCAGCAGGAACCCCCGGCCCCAGCCCCAGCCCCAGCCCCACAGCTGGGCTGTCCCGTGCTCCCCACGGGCCGCCCCGGGGCACGTGTCCCCACACAGCTCATCTACACTGCTGCGAGCGCGCCTCACAGGGCCCCGGCTGCTTGAGCCAGGCAGGGCCAGAGAAACACAGGCACTGGCTGCGGGGACGGGCACCGAGAGCAGCTGCCGATGGCCCCACCGCACAGCTGATGGATGGATGCCATAGATGCCATCTCCAAGCAGTTGGATCAAACAATGCTGCAAAAAGGAGACTCCAAAACATGAAAAAGGACTTAATGTTCCTTGGAAAGATGTTGAAAGGATCAGGAGCACAAATAGTGTTTTCCTCTCCCCTCCAAGTTGGTGACTGGGACCCAAGAAGAAGGAGACAAATGGAGCATGTAAATGATGGGCCAAGAGGCTGGTGCCATGTTTGAGAATTTGGGTCCTATAATCTTGGATGCACTTTTCAGAGACAGATCGTGCTGTGGCTGGGGCACACCTGACTGAGTGAAATAAGAGTGTTCTGGGCAGTAAGTCGGCTGGGCTTGCCTGGAGGGTCTTTGAACTCGATGCATGGATGCCATAGATGCCATCTCCAAGCAGTTGGAAGAATCACAGAATGACAGAATATGCCGAGCTGGAAGGGACCCATATGGATCATCGAGTCCAACTCCTGGCACCACACAGGTCTACCCAAAATTTTAGACCATGTGACTAAGTGCACAGTCCAAACACTTCTTAAATTCCAACAGGCTTGTTGGAGTGACTACTTCCCTGGGGAGCCTGTTCCAGTGTGATCAGAGTGAGGTGATTGCACCCCTCTACTCTGCTCCTGGAGGCCTCCTCTGGAGTGCTGTGTCCAGGCCTGGTGCTCCCAGCACAAGAAGGATGTGGGTCTGTAAGTACGGGTCCGGAGGAGGGCTACAATGTTGTTAATGGCAGGAAAAGAGGGGATGGTTTTAAACTAAAAGAAGGGAGATTTAGAGTAGAGGTTGTGAGGAATTTTTTCCCTCAGAGGGTGATGAGGCACCGGACCGGGTTTCCCAGAGAAGCTGAGGATGCCCCATCCCTGCAGGGGCCCAAGGCGAGGTTGGGTGAGGCCACGGGCAACCAGGTTGAGTGCATGGCATCCCTGGCCATGGCAGGGGGGCTGGAACTAAATGATCTTTAAGGTCCCTTCCAACCTGAGCCATTCTACAATTCTATGAGTGTGTGATTGTACGATTGTGTGATCGTACGATTGCATGATTGTGTGATTGTATGATCCTAGGACTGTATGGTTGTGTGATTCTATGATTCTGTGAAGAAGATCAAGACGCTGACTGTGGCAGAGTCCCCACTTTTATGTTGTTTATTGAAAGCCAAGTGTGCCCTGCTAACGGCGCCGCGGGGGCGGCCTCTTGCAGGGCTGGGGAGAGTCCGGGCTGCTGTTGGCCCTCCTCTTCGGGCGCGCCGGGGCCTCGCAGACGAGCGGTCCCTGTCCTGGCCAGGAGGAGAGAGCCCATGACTGCAGCCCGGCACCGCAGCGTCTTCTTGTGCCGGCAGTCCTGGCTCTGAGCAGGGCTCCTCCTGCTCTGTGAGGTTGGGTGCGGTGGCTGGGTGGCCAGGATCCCCACGCAGGGCAGCGCTGGAGGTGCTGGGGAGCTCCTCGGTGTCAGAGGACTCTGGGCTGCTGGAGGAGAGCTCGCTGATCACAGGAGTGGCCCGGGGGGAGGCAGCAGGGCTGGGGGTGGCCGCAGGACTGTCTTCTGCCTCGCTGCTGTCCTGGGAGCCCTCGATGTCCACCTCAGGGCTGTTTCGCTGCTGGCTAGCGGGAGGGGGTTCCAGGAGCCGAAGCCTCTCAATGAAGTTGTTGATGCACATCTCCACAGTTCTGGCAATGAGCTGCTGCACGAAGCTCATTGTATGGCCCTGCAGGAATGGCTGCAGCACCCCGACCAAGGCCTGCTCATGCAGCCCAAACAAACACAGCCAAGCAACAACGTTGGCTTCCAGCATGTCCTGCTGCCACCAGGCAGCCCCGAACAACTCCCTTGCTTGCTGGCGCACCCAGGGCCTCAATGGGCTGATGATAGTTGGGTGGTCCCTGAAGAGGGCCGCCCATTGCTCAGGCAGGAGGCCGCTCACAACAGGCTGGGGCACCGGCACTGCAGCCTCCTGCTCATCCTGTTGGTTGTAATTTTGTGGCTCTGCAGGGCGGATGATCTGCACCTCCATAAAGTCATCTTCTGCCCAGATGGAGTAGCGTACGGAGGTGATCTTCTGCCTGCAGAGGGGGCAGGTGGCATTTCTCGCGGCCCAGCGCATGATGCATCCCAAGCAGAACTGGTGCCGGCAGGGGATGACGACGCTGGGCTCCTTTGTGGTCCCCTGGCACACAGGGCAGGTGACATCAGCCTCTGTGGCCATCGTGCTGTCTCGCTGCAGCGGGCTGGGGAGAGCTGTGGATGGGGACCTGCTTCCCCTCGCTGGCGCCGCTGCGACAGGTGCTGCTCGCTGCAAGGAGAGAGGCCAGGGTCAGTGGCTGTGCCGGGGCAGGCAGCAGCAGTGCCCCAGCCCCTCAGCAGGAAACCCCCCGCCCGGCCCCAGCCCCAGCCCCAGCCCCAGCCCCACAGCTGGGCTGTCCCGTGCCCCACACGGGCCGCCCCGGGGCACGTGTCCCCGCACAGCTCACCTGCGCTGCTGCGAGCGCGCCTCACAGGGCCCCGGCTGCCTGAGCCAGGCAGGGCCGGGGAAACACGGGCACTGGCTGCGGGGACGGGCACTGACAGCAACTGTCGATGGCCCCACAGCACAGCTCCACCAAAGCCTCGCTCAACACTCCAAGCCTCGCACACACGCTCAGCGGGAGTCCAGGCACGAGCCAGGCTGGCACGGGCTCTGCCGGCGCCCCAATATAAGCAGCGAGGGCCGTGAGGTCACAACCCGTTGCTGGGTGACCTCACAGCCAGTTACTGGGTGACCTCAGGATGGGGAGACATAACGTTGTGCTGGATGGCAGCTGGCTGGGTTTTGGGTATCTGCAGAGAATGAGACTGTCCCAGAATAAGAATAATGGCTAAGGAAAACAGGACAAACACTGGCAGAATCGGCAAGAACACGAAGCTACAAAATCTTGGGCCTTTCCATTTCCAAAACAAACAAACAAACAAAACCAACAACAACAACAAGAAAAATAAAGTTTAGTCAAATCAAGCTGTATATACAGGGCATAGTCACAAGTGTAGGTTGTGGGCCTGTAGTACTCAGCCGGTGAGGAAACGGGAGGAATTAAACATCAGGTAATAGGGGATATAAGGTAATGATAGACTTTCACTGTGCACACCCCTGTTCACAGGACACCCACCATTGCAATTGTGAATAAATTAGCTTCCCAGAAGACCCTGTCTGAGAAAATGATTGAGATACTCCTCACACCAATAAACATGGGAAGATCTACAATCCTAGGACCTATGTGCAGAGAATGTACCAAACTCTCTGTGTGAAGGGAACAATGAGAACGAATGTTAATTACTATATGTTCTGTTTATATTTTACTTTTAAAATAGCCTTTTTCTGCTACATGGATTTTCATCTCCTGATCGATGGATTAATAATGCAAGTTTCTGTCTTAACTGTTGGCCTAGCTGGGGCATTTGCGACCACAGAATCACAGCATGGTTGAGGCTGGCAGGGCCCTCAGGAGCTCATCTGGTCCCACCCCTGCTCCAGCAGGGCCACCCAGAGCAGGGTGCCCAGGCCCACATCCAGGTGATTTTTGAAGATCCCCCAGGAGGAGGCCCCACAGCCTGTGGAGAACC